CAAACTGAACTAATTTCAAAACAAGACTCTTGATTTTAATTAGTTGACAGCCTACCGACTCAATGTTTTTAGGGACATCCTGTCCAGTGGCTTCCACAGGGATATCTTCATACTTGTCAAAATTTATTCCAGTGTTGTGCTTGTTGAAAAGCTCCCTAAGAAACAAAATATATTAACAACCATTATCAATTATGCCCATACTAATATCACGCTTTTTAAAAGTGTTGTAGAATCCTTCTAAAATGGAAATGATTGTTCCCTGAATAATCCAGGACTCTTACTATTTGGAGAATGGATCATCTACAGGAAAAAATCCTGCTAAGAAAACTAACATTATGAGAGATGTATGACCAACAGTAAGACAGATTACTATTGAGCTTTCACAGAGAAAATGTTCAGCTTCTCCAACAGTGATTACCTTTCAATGCGGTCATTCTTCGGCAAAAGTTTAGACCAATCTTCTGGTGGTGGCTGAGTGACTCTGTTATAGTCTGATGAGAAAAATATACTTCCAATTAACGTGAAACTAAAGCAGAACACAACAGAAAAATCACCTAGTGCTGACATGTTTGTTTGTATATTACAATCGCTCACCATTGCCACTTCCTCTTGTGGGAGGAGGTCCTCGGTTGTCACCCCTTTCTCTCCAGCTGTTTCCCCCTCCACGGCCTCCACCATAATACTGACCTCCCCCATAGTATGGGCGTCCACCTCCTCGTGGAGGATATCCACCATAAAAGTTTGGCTGCTGTTGGTAAAATCCATCTGACAGATAATAAGATACAATATATTATATATCCCAGTCAAAGAAAATTAATGAATCAAACTTTTTGCCAAGCCTTGTTATCATCTGAAGAGTCACAGAAATACTCTTCTGACATGTCCATATCCTCTTCACCACACAACTTAGATTTTGAAATGATTCCCTTTGCAAGATGCAATTGTTTGGTTCAAATTACTCCCATCACTCAGCTGTGTGCGGAAACTTATAGTCTCAAATGATGTATGACCGAACAAACCTCTGTAGGGTTCCCTGTGTTGAAAGTCCCTTTGCTGGTTGTATCCATGATCATGGTACCCCCCTCTGCCATGAGGAGGAGGAGGACCAGGTCTGCTGCGAAGGTGAGGAGGCACGTATCGTTCTGAAACATTAATCATACATTGGGCTGGTCAAAATAAAGCATGGCAACTCAATTAACTTTGGTATGGTACATTTAATTTACCACATTTTGCTTTGTTTCCAAATCTGATCAAAAGTATTAATCACATTAATCACATAATTGCTAGTCTGCCATGTCTGAGAGATATTCTCTGTGGGTTAAAATATCTTATCTAAATATCTCCAAAAAATCCTAAGAATTTGCTCACCAATGTCTCTATTTCATTGGTAACTGAATATACTTTGGGAAACTATTCAGAGTTTCAGAGGGATTTCAAGAACTTCATCAACTAATGTTTAGACAACATGACCCTCTAAGCTTTAGAAAATGACTCCATTACTGTTATTACTGAAATAATGGTTCACTTTTATAAAACGTAAGTATAATTATTATATCCAGAAAGTTTTTTTTGCCAAAAACTCTCACATTCCAACTAACAATGACTTTTAATGGTGAAAGTTTACTCCTGGCACTGGTGAATTTCAATGAAACGTTTTCCTGAGCCTTTTCAAGGCCTGATTTTAACCCGCAAAAAAAAGAGACTTACATCATAGATTTTCGCTATGGGAGCAAATATCTCTCATTTCAATTTATTAGGCAAATGTACGTTATTTCAAGACACAGAAGTAATTCAAATTCAAAACATTGAACTATTTTAACAAATAGCAAAGAAGAATCAAAGACAATCTTCATTAAAATATAAAGAACGCGGTGTGGAAAAAACATCATTAGATGTAATCCAAGCCGGCTACCAGAGCGACAAAGAGATTTTTACTTCAGCCTGTGAATTATATGATACCAATCCGGCGATTTACCCGTATTGAACGGCCAAAAGCGTTTACCACGTTTCATTCTTTCGTTTTCTTCATTTCCCACTTTACCGAAATGGAAATTTGCACAATCTTAGGCGACGGATTAAAATCGTACTTTTTCAAGTTACCTTGTTGAGACTTAGGATCGACGCCGTGAGGGTTAACGGCGCCCTGATTCAAGTCCAGACCAGCGAACTACAAGGAAACAACAACACAAAAATCACTTTAAAAACTTCATCTGTACTTAATACAAGAAATAGCACATAAATTGTTTATTTTCTAGACGAATGACGGAGAAACTGTTCGAAAAAGGAAGGCGTCATTTTGCATTTTCCATGTGCCTTTGTCTCAAAAACCACAATTTCATATCTTCCGATTTAAAATCTTCAACTTACCCGCTGGTCTAGAGCTTGAAAGTTAGCTGGGGCCACATGACTCATAACGGAATAGACAGTAGTTTTAAGCTTTCGAATGAAATATTTGAAATGGTTGGTAAAACTCGGCAAAAACGCGAACAATAATTGAAGGATTTTGCTCTTCAACTTTTTTCTGTTCAGATCGAGATGTCAGTCGACGACAGCCGGCTGAGTAACCGCACTGCCGTGACGTCACGTACCAAGCACGTGGCCGCCCCAGCACCTGGTGGGAGGGGGCAGGGATCTAGAAAGAACTCTGTGACTCGTTGTTTCTCAGTGACATCATCAAATAACAATACCGGAACCAATGGATTTGTTACCTGTGAAGTTCTCCCTGTAGATTCGGCTTTCAAGATCCTTTGCACAAAAAAGATAGATCTGGAATTTCTACACATGGTACACACGAGATATTGAAAAAAAATTTAGTGTTTTCACTGCCTGATTTAATGATTTTTTTCAAAGCCGTGAGATTTTTTGCGTACGTACTAATCGTTGAACGCAACTTTTGAATTCCCGCTAGAATGTGAAAAACACCAAATGACAAAATCTAAGATTAAAATTGTAATTTCTGGGACTACTTCGAAATGACAGTTAATTTGAACAATTAAAAAACCCCGGTTTACAAATCAGAATTAAATGATTTTGTAACTGCATAGAATCTATTGATGTGGTCAAACATAATTCAGGCGGACACTATCCACCAAATAAGCTCAAGCTGGAAAAGAATTCAGGCGGACACTATCCACCAAATAAGCTCAAGCTGGAAAAGGCGAGAAAACGCAGCTTTGGTCTTTCGAGTGTCGTGTGGGGAACTTCATTCTCAAAACGACATGCTTATGAGATTAATTCATGTATTCCACTGATCGGCAGGTGGAACTGTGGGAGATCTGGATCCCAGGCTATTTTCCTCTTAGGCGGCGGTAAAGTAGTTTGATTCGAAGCATACACATTTAACTACCCCAAGAGTTAAAATAATTGAAAACGTCAAGTGTAAACGTTACATTCAACAAAGGGAATTGTCGAAATCCTTATTTTATGAAAATGAAGGTTACAAATTTACCAGACACGATAATTGATAACCGGAAAATTAGTTATACGCCAAACTTTGTTTACGACCTGCCGATGAACTTAAGAAAAGCTCCCATACTGTGGGCCATTTTGGCCAATCAGGTTAATCCATAACAACGTAAACAATCACTTTTTCACACGGTGTTTATGTGGTGTATAGCCCTCCGTTTTCGGGTTTTTTTTTTTTCGTCGTTTCACCTTTTAACTCGTAGACGTAATAAACATGTAACCTCTCCCTAAAATATCTAACATTATCCACCGAACAGGTAACGAGAATACTCACTCTTATCAGGTAGAAGTTATTATCTTGATCCGAAACCAAGTTCTTATAACTAATTTACGAGGAAATGAGTAGCAGGTGCTAAAGTGATAAACGAATTACATAACACGCGCCGTTGAGAGTGTCAAAACAAAAGGCATGAGGGTGGGGTGGGGAGAGACCGTAAACGGCTTGCCCTGAGCGAAATTCACTAAAGGACGTTAGAACGTATATTGAAAGACAACGCACTTTTTGATAAATCACCCTTCATTTCCTTCAGGAAGGAACGAATCGGGGTGTAACTTCCGATGATAATGAGCAGTAATTACTCCGATTGATATAATTACTGTTTCACAATGACGAGGCAAACTGCAAAGCAAGTTTGGTTGATATGGCGCCAAGAAATATCGAGACTATCGTTCTGATCATGTATCTCTAAGTCTGTTTGGGAAAGTTTCGAAAAAGGGAAAGAAAGTTTCATACTTAAATCACAGAGTCGCGCAAAAACCAGTACTAATTCTACATAAAACTTATTAACAGATTTCAACTTGAAGTGACTTATTACGTATTATAACTTATTATATCATATTTTATATTCGCCGTAGGAAACGATCACCGAATGACAAAGTTTTCAAGTGCCGTGATCTTGCACTTGAAAGGTCGCGTGTTACGTTGCTTCTGGAACATCTCGCGTCACGAATCGATACGGATAAACATTGAGTAATCACGAATGAATCAACCATATGAAAGGTTAAGAGCTGATAAAGCAGATAGAGCCAGGCGTTGGATTGGTTTTGCCGTTACAATCGCAACGAGGTTCTTGTATGTCTGATGCGCACGAAATATCACAAAAGTCATTGAAATGACAGCTGACTGATATGACCGCATTACTCAAAAGCTTCGAGGCCACCAATTGCATAAAATTATTTTAAAAAAATTGAATGTCATTGTCAAAACATTTCGTCTCAGAGTAGACTAGTCAAGAAATTTTGAAACGAAAATATCAACCGGCTATACCTTAGAGACCAGCTTTAAATGAAATAATTTTCAGGTGTTGACGTCTGAAGTAACCCATGCTGTCAGTTGACTCAGCAATCTATTTATATTGTCTAGCATGAACAAAACATTCCGTCTCAAACACAAAGGAAGTTTGCGTGTCACTTTTTAGACCACTTTTTATCCACGTCTTAATTTAAGATTAAAAACAAATTTCCTTCTCGGAAATGATCGTTAGAGGTGTATTCATTTAAGAAGATTCTTAATTTTCGCTTAGTAGTGGACCATACTTACCGAAAAACCTTATTGAAAATTAAAATTACACTTATTCGTTGTTGAAAAAAAAACGCTGTTACAATGTTACTTACAAAATATAATTTCCCGCGATACCATATTACTGTAGAAACAATATGATGCCATGTTGGCTCAAACAGAATCTTGTTCAATTTTTGCCCTTTCTAATTCCACTGTCGACAGAAGATCCTCAATAATTTTATCCAATTCAAGATCTTGTTCCTCGTAATTGCTATGAATATCTACCTCTAAATTGCCTCGACATGGCTCAAAATGGCCAACATCGTTGGTTGAATTGTCCTCATTCGGAGAATCTTTTGCAACATTTAAAGAAGATTTTCCATCAGTAGTATTGCTAGAGGTTTTGCAGTCGTAATTATCAAAACTTGTTCTCCTCTCAAAGCGCTTCTGCTCAAAGGACTTGCGTCTATCCCGACGCAGCTTTTGAAAATGTCCTTCTCGAAAAGCAGCATATAAAGCCAGTCCAATAGCTTTTGCTCTCTCTTCGCTGTCACAGGCCAGCGCATGACATTCGATTACTGATGGACCTTTGTGGTGATTAAACGCAAAGATAGTGGCGTCAAGTCTGTTTAAAGTACAATAAGAAATGTTATCAAGAGATATAAACTTTGATTCGTTCATTGTGGACTTAGTTTTCACCTCCGTGAATTTTACGCCGTTAGTTTCCACCTCTAAATACATTTTCGGACAGCTTTTGTCATCGTCTTTCACTTGTTCTTGTATTTTGCGTACTGCTTTTTCTATCCCAGCGACGCCGGGTTCTTCTGTTTTTCCACAGCCAAGATATTTTACCTGAAAGCGGGTGGATAGTGTTAGATCCGCTTTCCCTGATTTTCCCTTGATCATTGCTGCGTCCAACGGCTAAAAATCTCTTAAAAACTTGATACCAAAGCGCTTCCCTGAAATACACCAGGTTACAGATGGGTTTCTTTTCAACCTCAATTTTTAAATATAATATTTTTGTTTTGTATTTTGAACTTGCTAGCTTCTTACAGAGCCTTGCACCACTCACTATCTTATTGGACTGTTTACTGCATTCACGTAAATTCCACCTGTTTCAATGTTCCATTCAAATCCTCATTGAAATGCAAATTTTGTCGCTTGACGTGTCAGTCATTTATGCTATATCAGCCTGAGGTGGCTTCTTCTATTTAATTGACATAAATGAAAATAAAATTCTCTTTACCGACCTGAAATTCGTTTATGTAATTTTGATCAAATTTGGTTCTCTTTCTGGTGATAATTCGTCGTCTTTCGTTTGGTATCTCACATTTAGAAACTATTTTCGCATTGTTCATAGTTAATTAACGCACGAGAAGCAAACAATATTCTGAAGTGAAAATTTCCCTTTGCTAACAAAAGAAAACTGTTAATTTTAATTTTTTTTTGTTGTTCTCTTATTTTGAACGCGAATGCCCCCCGCGTGGAACTTTGTATGATGTTTTTAATGGGACCTCCATCTCAGAGGTTGCGCAACTATCTTGGTGAAAGAAATATAATTTTTTTTATTGATTTTCTTGTGGTATTCCTAGTAAGCCACGTTATGCGATCGAAAATTCAGTGGCTTGGAGTTAAAAATATCTTATGTCTTCTTCTTTCAGCCGCATTTCTTATGAGGTCGCTAAAGAAACAAAGTTGGTCCGTGAGGGCTTGAAAGATATTTGCTTCACTTTGTAAAATTTCTTAGTATCAAAATCTGTATGCTTTGACGTCTTGCACTTTGACTCAGTATCTTTCTGGGTTTTTCTCTCGAGCTCTGTTTGGTTAATTTCCTCAGCCCTCTTTGGTTCTGGTTTTGTTTAGAAATCCTAACCACCAGAATTTCTACGGTTGTTGAAGCCGTGACTACTGCACACACGGGTCAGCGGCTTCGAAGATAATTGATTTAAAAGGCTAACAACTTACCGTTTTTAAAAAGTTAGTAAGTGAAAGCCATACGGGAAAGGAGCCTGCGATCCTCCCACCCCTCCCCTAGAGGTACAAAAACCATGACCTATCATGATAGCGAAAATCAAGCCTAGTTTAGCAAAAGCCTCCTGCAATTCGATGACATATCATCCAATGAAACTGCAGTATTTCTATGAGTATTCGCGACGCGGGGCGCAAGAATCCCTCCAGGGTTCCTCTAAAAATAGCACTATGCGCGTAGGAACATTGCTGAAACCTGCAAGAATGTGACGGGAAGTTAATATCTATGAGGTATTTTGTGGTTGATCGTAATACAAAACAAATTGATGCAGGCAAAACCGTCATTTTGTCATCCACGACAGGTACAGCTGTCATACTCCTAATTTTAACTCCAGTTGTTAAAGGCAATTTTATAAATAAGGGTAAGAAATTGCGAATTATCAAAAGCGGGAAATGTAGTCAACATTTTGAATGCTTTAAATTTATACTGCAAGAGAGAAATAACCATGGTTGTTTTGATAACTGATGAGAACATGGCATGCCTAGCAAAGAAGATTTTAAAGGGGTAAGTTTCTAAAGAAACTGTGGTGCTGCGTCGGTGGGAGAGTATAGCAGGTAATTTAGTGTTAACAACTGGGTTGAAAACGTAAATTAGCTACCGTAAAGAGTAAAAAAGCTGAAGTTTCGAGCGTTAGCCCTTCGTCAGAGCGATTGATTAGCTAAATTCACATGCACTGTTTGGAAGTCATTTGCACACATCATTTGGCCGTCCTAATTGAATCAGACATATTCTAACAATAATGAATTGTCTAAAAGCAGTTTTTAAGTGCTTGTCTGGTGCAAAATTATCACTCAGAAACTGTCTTCCGCCAAAATATAACTTAAACTACAAAAACTGCAACTAATACACGAAATATCTTATGTTTAATGTTGTTTCAGAACAATTAAAAAACTTGTTTTCCGCCGCTTGATTTTATAACAATGTGTTAACTGACGGTGTGTACTTTGTTTAGAAATAAAACATCTAAGCAGTTTAAAAATAGATAAAATGTCTTCTGAAATTAATTTCGCAAAAGACCAGCCTTGTAGTCGTAGTTAGTTCATGTTTGGTTTTCGGTCTTTGAGTTCACGAATCGCATCTGATTGTAAACATTCTCTCATTTTCTCCCTTTCCTTGCGAAGAGTCTCGAAATGGTCTGTTCTAAACGACGCATAAAGCGCTTCGTTAATTTCCCGTGCCTTCAGCGCACTTTCGCACACTACTGCATGACATTCAACATGGTTCTTCGAGACATGATGATTAAAGGCAAAAACATTGTTGTCTTTTTCATTGATAAAGCCATAGGAAATATTCCTCAGAGGAATAAATGTCAATAGAGTATCTTTCTCTCGTTTTCGCTCCATCAAACAAAGTCCTTTTGTGCTAATTTTGATGCAGTTCGTTTGAGTTGTATTTCTGCAACACTCATGGCTTGCAGTTTTCTTAATTTCTTCCACAGCAGCCCGGATTCCTTCGACTCCTTCTCGTGTATTCATACAGAATCCCAGGTAACTGACACGAAATTCAGACTCTAGGACAAAAGTGCACGAATCACTTCGAAGACCAAAACCTCCTAATTTCTCCTTAAGTGATTCCATCTCAGGTAAGCACCGATATTCCAAGCTCGGTCAAAGTCTCACAGAAGCCATAGCGAGTGAATAAAAAATGCCAGACTGATTCAACGATGGCTCGAGGAGTTTTACAATTTCCTCCCACGTATTTTTGCGGGCAATTTTACTGATGTTCTGCCAAAACAAATGGTGAGAAATTATGATTATTAGAATTGCAAATTTGCGGGAAATTTTTACACACAAATCTATTTCGAGGCAGGAATGTGACATTTGACTTAAACTTCCTTACTTGGATTCAGGAGGTCGGCTGAACGCTTTGAAATTTTTTTTAAAGCAGTTCTTTTGTCATGCACAATCAACATTAACAAAAAGAACTCGCTTTCATTCCTTCAAGGTAAAGAAATTAATGATAGATTAGCACACTTGCGGCGGCGAAGATTAGCAAAAGATGATATTCTTCTTGATGACACATAACTCAGTAATTTGATACTTTTTGGCAAAACCGAATCTATGGAAAAATCTTGCGTTCATGCTTTTTGTTTTCAATCATTTTAAGCCATCCAGACCATTAATAAAATAATGCTATCTCGTATAGCAATTTAGCAGGTACAGAGCTGCTCGATAAACGAAAATCGTGAGACATCCAAAAGTTAAATTAGCGGGTATAATTAGGGTACACTGCTGTGAAACCAAATAATGCTCCTCGTCGACATTGACATGGCAACGCAACCAACTTTTTTGCTCGTCTTTGTGTGAAATCTGATTGGACCGTTGCTCACGCATTGTTCTTTATTCAGGATGAATAATTACGTTTTAAAAACTGTCAACAGCTGTTTTATTGACATTCCATAATAAAGAATTCGATTTTAAATTATAATTTTGACACTAAGGAGGTAGGGATCCGTCGACCGGAGAATTATTTCACAGCTTGCCATGACGGGTGAAGAGGAAAGAGCTAAGATTCTAACGGTTTTCTTATGGGTGTTATGAAATCAAAACAACAAGAAACTGACACGAAACTGACCAAGAAGAAAACAGAACGCAACATGGTCAAACGGATAAGTTTAAAAAGTTTGAGGCAAGAATACGAGTTGAAACCTTCCAGGAGTTTTATCGTTCGCTTTGCAGGGAAAGCAGAGAGGAAAAACCCAAGCGGCGAGAACATCGACGAATGTCTGAAGAAATTGTACAAGAAAGTTCAAGATAATATAAATGGATTACCACGAGTTTGTTTGGAGATTAACTCTGCAGATGTTAAGATTCGATGGATTCAGAGTGAAACCGAACATCAAGAGGAAATAGTAGTGCCCTTTACTCGAGTATCTTTTGTTGTGGCAGATAAAAAACATCAACTGTTCGCTTTCAATGACTTTGTTTCCCAGAAACCGAAAAAAGTTGAGTGTTATGCTTTCATTTGCACTGAGTCGGAGAAGTCTGATGTGGTAGCGAACGCTTTCTCAGAAGCGTTCAAAGAAGTCCAGGAGAGACCAAGGAGAGGCTCAGGTCTCGACGCGAAAGTAGAAGCTTAGGAAAAAGTACTTGAGGACTTACAGTTGATATCATTAGAGATTAGGACTAAGACTAATTAATAAGAAGCGTTGTAAGAGAGTATGTTTTGGTTTGCTTGTGAAGTGTGAATTTACACAAGGAAACAAAACAATTCCGTGTTACAATCTGATAATTAATTGTATTTTAAGCCATGATCACTCGGTTGATCTTAAAGAGAAGTAGGTAAAGGCATAAACGTTTTTGCAGTGACAATATGATAGAATAGAAAAACCTTCCTTGCCTGCGCTTTGTTGGGTTTTCAGCTAGAAGGTTACGATTGCATAAACAGCTCTTAAAAAAACAAGAAATTGTGATCTATTCGACAAGTTTATACGAAAGACGAGACTGACTCAAGACTATCAATTACGTACGAGACATTGTGTGTCTTTCAAGAAAAGTTAAACTTCCTTACACGCGACGGGCAGACTACGGTTCTTTAGGAAAAAATCTTATCGTTAACTGAGCGTCCTCGGAGATACAAAATCGCTTTAAACTAACAATGAATATATTATGAAGGCACGAAATGCTATGCGTAAGTAATTTGCACAAGACTTGATGATTGACAAAGATCTTTCACATATTCACCTTCTACGGGCATCAGGTTGTTTTGATAGATCAAGTGTAATGAGGGATTTGCAAAGATGTTTAACTGATACCGATAAGACTCTTAAAAGATTTCTCTCAGCCATGCATGTCCGAGAAACTCAAGACGAAGACGGTCTTGAGGAAGTGTAAGTTAGCGACTTCTTTGTTATCTGGAGCTGAAACACGGGTTCTTTTGGTCTTTTTTCTCATATCATTAAACATTCATTTCTGTCTTTACCATTTCTTTTATTCATATACAGTACCTACAATAATAATAAACATGAAAAAATTACTCAGTTCTGATTGGTTAAGATAAATGTAGTTTTCAGGTAATTCCATGCAGAAGAGAGTTAATTCAGCGCAAAGAATCAACAAACCAGACTGAACCTTGAACTGTTTAGCCGGACTCTGAACTTTTTTGCGCCTTAAAGATGTGAAAATATCATTGTATATTATTGTTTTGATCGTACGCGGTTGTTTTGACCGAACGCACAATGTCACTTGCAGGGTGTGAATAAATTATTTTTGCACTTGATGCGCGCGCTTTGATTCTGCATAATTATGATAAGCTATCTCGTATCTTTTCATGTATATTAATAATCTGAGGTAATCACATGATTTTTCACGTGCAATTTGGAATAAAGAAGCGCTTGTAATTTTTTTCAAAGACCACAAATTGCACTCGCCCTACAGGTTCGTGTAATTTTGTTAATCTTTGGAAAAATTTACTCGTGCTTATTTATTCCAAATTGCACTCGAAATAATGTGATTACCTATACTAATAATTTCTCCAGCGAACTGAATTCGAGACATGACAAGAGCAAACGCGGAAAGGCAGATTGCCTGAAGTACAGGAAAACGCTAATAAAAAAAAGTCAAACTTTGCATCTTATTGTTCAAGTTGCATGAAGTAGGTTATCCTGAACAATAACGGGGTTCTCAGACTAATTTCGATACTCTAGTGAAACTTTCCCTTAGGGCTTTTTGTTTTTCTCTTGAGGTGGTGGTGGGGTTGTGGCGGAGGCCGCTACAACACGGGCATCCCGCAGAAGTAAGCGGGTCACCCGAGGGCAGCCTGTCACCCCTAGAAAAATTAATAGTGACACTAGCCACAAGATCTGGCGTCACCCAGATCGTTATTTTCCTTACTCATTAGTTTAAGGCAACCCGTCGAAAGTAACATCAAATTTATTATACTCCTACATAAATACGGTCCTTGTGGGTGACTGCACAAAGCCTTATCATATTTTTTTTCGTTTTTCACAGTAATTGATGTTTTAATATCGTTTACATGCGATATTAGGTGCGAAAGACTAAATTTAATCGCAATTAAGCAGAGGAGCTTATTAAGGCAAAGCAAACGCTACGGTAGTTAACAGGCTGAAGAGCCAAAACTTTTGTTACGCATGCGCATAAGGTATTCTACCTGAAGAAAATGCAAATGAAGATTTTGACCCTTCTTGTCGTGTTTCAAAGCATTTAGACTCAAAAAGAGCAGAATAAGCCAATATTATTCACCACACAAGACACAAATACAAACTGATGTAATATTAGGAAAAGGGATCTGATGCAAATTTAGCCTCAGTCTGGGAAACCGGATAGCGGTAGGGGTCACTGATATTTTGCGATAAAATTTGTTCCGTAGGATGGAAAGGATCTGTTTACATTATTGTTTTGTGTGTGTGCAACTAAGTGAGTAATTTTGCTGGACGAGATCTTGAGAGAGATAAAATACAGAAAAGTTAGAAAACAGTGACGTAAAACTCGTACGTACGAGAGGGTGATTTTATCGAGCTCCGCCAGTTTCATCTGAAGTGCGCCCCTTAACTGTGTCATAACATTTGTTTCTTTGAGTCCGATGAAGAAATGATGACAATTTTGATAGTGTGTTTGGTAGGAAGAGACGACACGAATTCCTGGAAAGACAAACCCAGCGTATGTGCTCTAGAACGAAGTCAGCCAACCATAGCGTGCCATTCTTAATAAACACAGCACTCGAGAGAAAGTTCTAGAGAAAGAATGGAAACTTATATATTGGTTAGACACGAAAGTGCTTGGTCACATGAGCTATTTAAACTAACCAAATTTTAATTAAAAACTGCTCAAATGAGACAAATGTTGTTACGAGTATCTATCATTTGCATCACGTAAGAAAGTTCAGGAAATTTCTCTCAGTTCTGGCCGACTCGACAAACAGGATGTTAAAATTTTCTGCTCATTTGCACATGACAATGCCGTATCATCTTTTAAAATTTAACATGTAGTGACGCAACCGTAGGCAGGCGGTCTTAAAATTTAGTGATTCGACCAGTTTTCCATTTAAAATTTGTTTGTTTGGCTATTATTTAGGACTCTGTAAGACAATTTACATAGTGAGAAGCCACGTACAAAAAGCATAACACAAGCGTAAAATACGACTTTAAACACTCTTCCGTTTAAACTGCTTAACTATAAATATGCGACAAACAATAACTTCGCAAAAAATGCTTCTTCAAGTTCTTGGACTTTGAGTGTTTAAAATGTGTGTTAATATTTCCTCAGCGAGCAAAGTTACCGTGGGAAAATTCACCCTCCTAATCTCACAACAAGAACAAAAAATAATTTGTTGAAAAAACTTTTTGGTTTCCTGAATTAAAGGGATCAATTTTGCGCTTACGCTGTAGTTACAAATTGTATACCCATTTTTAGGGTAATTGCACGTGTTATTTTCTCTATGATCACGAAACAGCTCTGAATTCTTGATGTTCGTTTACCATTAACGTACAAACTGCGAATATCGGAAAAAACTTCACATTCCAGGGAAATTTTTTAAGGAGAAATCAAACGATATATATTGTTATGACTTGTCATTCCTGTCGATAGCTGGAAAGTGTGACAAACAGAATGCTGTGATGACGTAAACAAGCTCGTCCGAGATAGGTCATGACGATGCGGCTGAGTGATTTGAAAGAAAAAAACCTCAATATTCCGTTATTTAAATTTACGCTTTGCATCACTGTCTTTGTCTAGATAATTCGATAAAATGGGCAGGATTTTTCCTTCGTGAAGTCATTCTGGAAACAGAGCAGTTGTCAAAATGCTGGAAGACATCTCAGTTTACCACTGTGAAGACTCCTAAAACTTAGTTAAGGACTCGTGGGAGTACAGACATCGTATATTTGTAAGTTTTAATATGGAAAGTGAAACTTGCTTCAAAATTGTCCTAATTTATTTAACCGAAATTTCTTCGACATCCAACTCTATTTGAAGTATCAAAGGCATCATTAAATAGATTGATACACTTTCTAAAATAAACTGCAAAGCTTTTAGAAATGTAGAATACAGTCTTAGTTAGATCTGTTTTATAACTTGTAAGTGCACCTTTTTTCTATGCAATAGGCTCAAGCTGCTATTCACACATTATTCGCTTGAAATGTTTTCTAAGGATGACCTAAGGCCTAATATCACTTTAATTTAAGCTGCAAGTTATTCAGCTCGCATTTAAAAGAACGGTAGCTGTCTGAATTCGTCACTAAGCCTGGGAGAGATCTAACGGTGAACATGCTCTGCGCGACAAATTATAAGCTAACCCCCCCCACCCCTGCTATCAATCTTTGTTTCCAAGACAGTCACACTACGATGCCCTGTTATTTTAATTCACTTACAGGTATTTTTAGTGTATACGGATTAGGAGGGCGAGACCTCTTTGCATTTTTAGTCGCTACCTTTTGTTACATGAAACAGAGGAAGCTAGGAATCGAGCAAATGGAAATATATTTAAAAATATAAATTTGGATCAAATAACCCTTACCGAAAGACTTCCTTTACATTCAAATGATCCAAAAAAGATCATATCACCCTTAAAATATGCAAAGTACATTTGTGGGAATGTATTGTACTGAAAGAAATTAATCCCTGGATATCGTTTCACTGTGTTCTTTATTTTTTTTTCAATTTCGAACAATTTTTTTACCCTGCGGCAGCAAAAGGAATTGTATCAATAACTAAGCACAACTACGAGCTAAGAGAGCACAATTTAATCAAGTTCCAGACAGATTTTTATTGCTGTCTATAGCAGGAGAGAAGTGGTAGTAACTATATTGTATCCCTAAAATTTTGAATGTCCCTCCGACCTTAGCGGCAATATCGTGACGGAAAACCCATTAACTGCGCTCTCATCCTCCATATAAGGAGGCGTCAATTGATATTTGTCACTTTCATATTCCCTACGGGACCGTTGGAAGCCATTGAAGTGCATTCGAGCACATCTTGCAGTTCATAACACATGTAAATTAGTTGTGTACATATTTTTGACCAGCTTTCGAAATCGGCATTGTTTTCACGGTTGTTTTATCTTGTCAAATATGTAGAGAGGGTGTGTACGGAACCAAGGAAGGAAGCCTGAAAAAAGAAATTGTGTTTAATAGGGGCGAAGAGGAGGATTCAGTGATATGACTTCCCTGATCGAACGCGAACAAGCAAGTATAAAGAGCCCCAGAAGTCCTGGTCGACCGAGTAGTGGCCAGTTTAGCTTCAAGGGATCTCTATACGTGGCTCACAATGAGAAAGATTGGATCGAAATTCAGAAGAACACGTTCACAAATTGGTGCAACGTTCAAATTCAACCGTACGGTGTACAAATTACGAGTGATCTAGCTGAGGCGTTCCAAGATGGACTTTCACTTGTGTACCTGGTTGAATCGATTTCCACGAAGAAAGTTGGTCGATACAACAAGAACCCGAGGCTGTACGCACAGAAACTTGAAAATATCACCAGCGCTTTGAAGTTACTACAGAGCGACGGGATAAAGTTAGTCAACATTGGTGAGCTATTTAAATTGTTTCGTGACAGTAATGTACACACAGACATGCGAGACGACAACTGTTCTGCGCTTTTATTTACCTTTCTTGTTCTAAATGTGTCCATTGATACACAGACCAGTGTTAAATAAATATAACGGTGTGTCGAGATTCCTCAAGAACATTACAGCTTAAACATAAATGAGAAAGATATCTTCAAAGATACGATTCAAAATTTCCGCACAAGTTTCCAGTTACAAGGCAAGAGGTCTTGGGAATCACGCAAAAATAGCACGATTCCTCGCACAGCTGAATTTGTTTTCCTCGTGGAATACTGATAGCTCGTTGTCTAAGAATACCCTATTCGTGAATATGTCGAATGCATTGCAGACAAGTTTCGAAGCCTTTCATCAGATGGTTGCCAAATATTGCACGTGAATCGAATGCACGCAAATTGGAATCGAAAATAGGTTCTGTTAACGGTGAGGGAGTTTCGAATCTCTTGAGAATCTACTTTGGAAGTTTTAATCTGCAATGAACGCTACTTCTGTTGTGGCTGAAATACGCGAAAAACTTTCGTTTGCTAAGAGACTCTGTAAAATATTTATAATATCGGTCTACCAGTTTCAAAGATTATAATGTTTACGTATAATTCCAAAACTATAGTTTTTAATTTTTCCCTTCAATTAATTCACAAAAGACCACGACCTTGAGTTCGGAAAAGACCACAACAATAACAAATTTAAAATTTTTAACTCGGAGGGCGGTGAAAATAACAAAAGATAATTTTTTTCCCGTTGTCTTCCTGTTTCGAAGCATCGATGTCATTTTTTACTTTCCGTTGCATTCATAGTTTTTTTCCGGTGCGTTTTCCTTTTGTTATTTATTAATCGACTCTGCCTATAAACATTCAAGGAACGACGATTCTCTTTAACTGAATACTAACGCTTCCAGCTTTCTTAAAGACTCTACGATATGGCCGATCGTTGATTGTGGTTACTGCAAGAATCGATTTTCACAGCTTATATTTTTGTTGAATATCGTGGCGACGTGACACTGGCCGGGTGTAGACGAACTCCAATCTATCCAATAAGAAACAATCTTACTCCACTTGATGCCTTTTGTCTCGACGCACGTACAGACAATAAACTCTTCCAAAATTGTTTTTTCTTTTTTTGCTATTTTATACCGCTAAATCAACGTGGGGGAAAGCGGCAGTTCGCTAACCAAACCACAACTTTCGTTTAATCTTTGTCAGTTACTGAAATTAGTAATTTTTTTTACCTAATGCGCCATACCGTCAAATATATATTGCACCACATAGGGTTTAATAAATATTGGCTTTGCAACAAGGCACTTGTTCGCCCTTTTTGCTTTGCAAATTAGTCAAATCAGACCTCCTGCAATTTTTTGAAAGCAGAACATCAACACAGCAAATTAAACGTTAAGACATCCAGTCCAAAATATTTCGTAAGGCCACATATAGACGATTCTAGGAGAAGTAAACTCTCGTTCAAGACAAAAAAGATCCTTTCCCGCTAGCTTGCGTAAGAGTCGTTTCCGTTTCCTGTTAGCCAAGCTGAATAAGCGTTAGATAAACAAGAGGTGGACGCAGTCAAAGACCTCATTTTTTTTTTTGCGCGCATGCACGAGAGTTCGTTTGTTTTTTTCTTCATAATGAATAAAGGGGTAAGTTTCTAAAGAAACTGTGGTGCTGCGTCGGTGGGAGAGTATAGCAGGTAGTTTAGTGTTAACATTTGGGTTGAAAACGTACATTAGCCACCGTAAAGAGTAAAAAAACGTCAGCTTTTTTACTCTTTACGGTGGCTAATTTACGTTTTCAACCCAGTTGTTAACACTAAATTACCTGTTTTTTTCTTCCTCTGCCACGCGTGATTCCCGCTCACTGCACGATTCTCTTGTTAGGCCGAGGAAAGGAAAAGAATAATGCCTAGGGAAACTCTCTCCCTTAGGAAGAATAATCTACTCGATTTGGCAGTAAACTCTCACCGGTCTCTCAAGGCGGTGGAGGAGAAAAGAGATATCGATTTGAATGCGATCCCTTGTTTCATAATTTGTCAGTTAGTCTTAGGAACTAAGAATAAGTCATTTTCGATACACTTCTGAATAGCAAAGGGGGTGAGTTTCTAAGGTAACTGTGGTGCTGCGACGGTGGGAAAGTATAACAGGGTAATTTAGTATCATCAACTGAATTGATAACGTAAATTGACCACCGTAAAGAGTTCAAAAGCAACGTATCGAGCGTCAGCCCTTCGTCATTCGCTCTGACAAAGAGCTAACGCTCGAAACGTCAGCTTTAAAACTCTTTACGGTGGTCAATTTACATTATCAATTCAGTTGATAATACTTAAGTACCCTGCTGAATACTAAAACTTCCTTCGTTGATTTTATATTTTCCAGGGAACGAGGACATTGCCAATGGGAACGTGAAGCTAATTTTAGGTCTAATATGGAGGTTAATCCTTCACTATCAGATCAGTTCAAGTGGCAGCGCCTCAGGCAAGCAGCTGCTGTTGTTATGGTTGAAAAATGCAATCCCTGACATGGTAATCCGGAATGTGACAACGGACTGGAACGATGGTAGAGCTCTGAGCGCCCTCAACGAGTTCTGCCAACCAGGTCTGTGTCCAAACTATAAGAGTCTAAACCCAGAGGCAAAACTGTCGAACACGAGCGATGCCATGAATGCTGCTGAGAAAAACTTCGGCATCCCGAAAGTTCTTTCTCCGGAATTCTTCGTCAGTCCGTATGTCGACGAATTGAGTATGATGACGTATTTGTCGTATTATACACAACCGGGCTCCATCGGAGAAAAACGAACACTGCAATTTATCAATGATTCGGCACCAGGCTTGAACGTGCGTAATTTCAACACCGATTGGAATGATGGAAAGAAATTATTGCAGTTTCTTGAAGCTCAGTGCCCTGGAATTGTTCCAGGGTACGAAAATATTGATCGGAATAGTCCGTTAGAAAACGCTAAGCTAGGGCTGGATATCGCGGAGGAGAAATTCGGAGTAAGGAAAGTTTTAACCCCGGAGGAACTTGTCAGTCCCGATGTGGACGAGCTCAGCGTCATGGCGTATATGTTGCAATTTCGTACAGCTGATAAACTGCAAAGTCATGCGCACATCTTCAAGGCGGACGGCAACGGAATTAAGCGGGGAGTTCGCGGGAAAACTTCTGAGTTTTTTATATACGGTCGCAAAGATATCGGTTTTGATGGGGTACGTGTCCATATCCGAGGTCCGGACGGGGAGGATTCCGTGCCAGTAGAAACACAAGTTGAAGCAGACGGCTCTCTCAGGTGCAAATTTGTTCCCTTTGAAAGCGGCATTCACACGATCTCTGTAAAGCACTACGGTAAAGAAGTCCCTAAGGGCCCCTTTCAAGTGATGGTGCATGAGAACGTGGCAGATGTTACGGTTTCTGGCGTAGGGATCAAGAATGCTGTCGTCTTCAAACCGGCAGAGTTCATTGTTCAAACCAACGACGAGAATTCCCCCCCGGTCTCGGCGGTAGTAGAAGGACCGACCAAAACAGCGAACTGCAATATGGAACCTCTTGGAAATGGAAAGTGGCGGGGATATTTTGTACCGCGGGAAGTGGGAGAGCACAAGATTCGCATTGAGGTCGGAGACACACCCCTGCTCGGAAGTCCCTTTACAACGAAAGTAGGAGATCCAACCAAGTGCAATGTAGCTGGGAGCGGTGAGTGAGTGATGCTACCTATCAATTAAGTCACGCAATACTTTGTCACTTAACAAATTATCATGTCACGTGAAGAACACAGTTGCATAACGTGAAGGCGATTTTCGGTGTTTAGCAAGTCATTTAGTTGCTCAATTATTTTTCATTTTTTTCCCACAGAAACTGCTCGCAACCCGACCATAGGACGTCCCTCCTCCTTCGATGTTGATACTTCCGGGGCGGGACTGGGGGAACTGGCTATCCAATGCCGAGGCCCCGTAGGGAATGTCCCTGTCGACGTGAAACCCACTGCACCCGGACGATACAACGTATCGTTTACTCCTAACAAGCCCGGGGAATATAATATTCACTTCGTATTCAACGGGGATGACATACCGGGAAGTCCAGTCAAGACGATAGTGAGTGATCCCAGCCGGATTGTAGCTCACGGAGATGGTTTGCATCAGGTACGACATCAGGTTCTGTTTATCATCATTCCTCTTTCCTCATTCGGGAGTCTTGGTCAAACCAGATTTTTTGCAGTCATCTCTGTCACGCACAACAATAGCTACGTGTGTCCAAGGTCTAAGAAACTCTCAGCATTTGGACCACAGAAATTTACGATTTTTCTCGAAAACCAACGTCAATCTCTCAATCAGTCAGATGCAAAACTTAAACGACTCGTTACTCGACCAATCGCTTTCTCCCGTGCTTCAAGCAGTTTGTTTGTTTTAACTTTGATTTCTGGTTGGCTCCTTACTCCTTATCGTATTCACTCTTGTTCTAGTTTTGGGCTTACAGCACTTAATCTAAAGTCCTAACTACTACACAGAAAATTTGAAAATCATTGATTTACTTCGATAATGTATCTCTCCACAATTACAGGTTACTACAGATTCTGAAGCAGAATTCTTCATTACACTTCATGGCGCTGGTGATGGAGAACTGAAAGTGTATGGCGAGGCTCCATATGGGCACTTTCCTGTGGATCTGCTACAGTCTCCTAATGAAAAGGACACCTACATTGTGCGGTACACTCCTCAGGGGGTGGGTCTGCACAAAATCCATATCAACTTTGCTGGGGAACCAGTTCAGGGCAGCCCGTACATAGTGAAGGTGAGAAACATTACACGACATCTCCCCCTCCTTCCCAACCTTCTCCCCAACTGCGAAGGACCCCCCCCCCCCTTACTCCCAACCGCCAAGGACATTTCGAAAACAACGCAATTTACAAAAAAAAAAGATATAAAAAAATGGAGAAGCTTAAGAGCTCAAGATGAACATTTTGATATGCTGTGACGTTATCTAACTCACGAAAAGGTTCTTCTTCAAACTGAGCTGAATCAAAATATGTTAAAAAATTTCTACCTTACTCATGCGCAGGTTACTGTTCTGGATTAATTGACCTTTTTTTTTAATCAGGTGGCGGACCCCAGACAAGTGACTTTGAATACACGTGAGTTGGAGCGCGAACCAAAGCGCTTTACTGTCCGTCACGAGGTGGACATACCTGTGCAGGTGCCTAGCTCTGCTGGAGAGGGCCAACTGGAGGCTGCTGTTGTGGGCCCCGACCAGGAAAGTGTTCCCTCTAGTGTGACAAAGGATGACGATGGATATTATCATATCCGGTTTGTACCTCGTCAAACTGGAGAACACAGAGTGATGGTCATGTATGGTGGCAAGGAAGTGTCAAGTAGCCCTTATGTCATCCGTATACGAGATGCCACCAGTATGAAGGTCAAGGTCACCGAGATGGAGCAGATGAGAACTGGTTACTCAGCGCAAAAAGAGGTCCATGTTATAATTATTTTCGTTTGTCTGACCTTCACCAGTGATGAAATTTTTCCTTACCGTTTTCGTTTTATCCTCATATTTAGGTTGATGTTCCTATCGAAGTTCCAGAAGAAGTTGATGAGATTTCCGCCACCGTCCAAGACGAGGATGGCAAACCTATAAAGTCAACGTTGACCTTTGAACCAGACGGCTTATACCACGTGAGGTAAGAACAGAGCATTTACGTGACGTTGATCATGTCACGCCTAAGGGCTTGTCATGCCATCCTAAAAAAATTTTTTGTGACACAGAAAAAAGAGCAACCAACTTATATTATATATTCCAGATTTGTTCCGCACAAACCCGGTCGTTACACTGTAGATGTGCGCTGTGGAGGACAGTCCATAGAGAACAGCCCCTTCGTAATGAAAATCTCAGAAGCGGAGACAGTGTCGGTAAAACTGAAAGAGTTTGAAAAACAGGTAACTCGCTGGTTTGTAATCTCCCATCCAGTTCTTTTGCACCTTGTTATCTAAATAACCGTAAGTGTGAGACGATCAGAGTCGAGGTAAGGTGTAACCAGACTCGAACTGAATAAAATTGTTCGGCATTAATTAGTGACGTTCTTTTGATCCTTCCCCTGACAGGAGGGAGTTAGCTATCACGTGGGGTACGAGGTAGACGTGCCCATGGAGATACCATCCGAAGTAGATGAAGTGTCAGCTGTGATTTATGACCCGGATGGAAATATTGACAAGTCAACTTTCAAGAAGGAATCTGATGGTCTTCACCATTTGAGGTTTACTCCCAAAAAGATTGGACAGTACAAGGTAAGTAAGACCTACTTATAGTCCCTGAAAGACGCACGAAGCCCAGCGATAAGAGCGTCGGCCTTCGAATCGAGCGGTCCTGGTGTGAGTCTTAGCCGGGGTTACCAAGTTGTGAATTTGGGAAAGCAAGAGATTCAGGGCTTTTTTTTTCTATCTCAGATGAATACATGTTACTTTTGGAAAGTTGCTTAGAATAGTCTGCCTTCCCACTCCCAAAAGAAATGATCTCTTACTTGCGTCAAACTTATTTCTTTTTTCCTAAGGTGGATATTCGCTGTGGTGGACGCTCAGTGGAAAACAGCCCATTCCCCTTGAACGTGGCCCAGCCAAAAACGGCCGTTGTTCGTTTACGCCAACCAGAGGAGTCTGAAAACAAGTATTTAGTTCGCCGTGAACTTGACATAGCACTTGACGCGGCAGAAGGTACCAGGAACCTGTCTTCATATGTAGACGGACCCGATGAGGAGAATGTTCCAGCATCTTTTGATAAAGGAGACGATGGCTTGTACCATGTTAAGTTTGTACCTTACAAGCCTGGAACCTACAAGGTAAGAGATCGGCGTAAATTTTATCCTGGAGAATTCGGTTTGGAAAATGTTTCTCGGTAACGCTGATACAAAAGACCAAACAAGTCATTGCGGTTTGTCAGAGCTGCGTGTCTGTTTGTCTCTCACATTCCTCTTTTAAAAGCCACGTAATTTTGATAGCAAGTGGTAGCTTCTTTCCATCCTGTTTACAGCTGGAGGAATAACCAGAAGGTGACGCTTACTATTCGTCCATCGTCGAGAAAGTGCGGAGTATCGGCTGGAACATACACCAGTTGAAATATTTTGGATTACTCTCGTGTTTTCGTGTTCTTCTTTTGTTTAAAAGTTGAAAAATTGTAACTTGTCCACTAATTAGGTGTGCTTACTCCCCGAGTTCACTCATTTCGTAATGATGATCATGTCGGCCTGGTACGCACTGATAAGTCGCAAAACCGCAATTTCTGACAATATCATAACTTCTCGTCCCTCTGTCCGTACATTTTGAAGTATGTTCAGATTTTCAAAGTATTTTTGCGTCTACCCAGGTTCATGTTAAGAGTAACGGCACTCCAGTAGCCAGTAGTCCATTCCTAATCAAGGTCGGCGACCCAGGCAAGGTCCAAGTTGCGCATGTCCGTAGTGAGGAACTGTATGCAGAGCGAGTCATTAAGAACGAAGTGGATTTAGCCGTGGAAAGTTCATATGACATGACTGATGAAGATTTCTCCGCCAGAGTCACAGGCCCCGATGGAGAAAATGTCCCCTGTCACGTGAACAAGGGGCCTGACAATCGGCATCACGTTAGGTTTACTCCTCATAAGGCTGGTCCATATAAGGTAAGGCGCCTCCCCGCTGGACGTTGGAGACTTGGGTGACATTGTTAGAGGGTGTGGTGATTGTAATGTTAATTTACGGTCGGTTTATATCACCATTTTTGCGAGTGAGGGAACGCAAATGTTAAGTTTCTGGACGTAGGTTTCTAAACGGGTTTTATCGCATATTTGGCGGAATGGTATCGTCAAAACAATTTAAAGTTTTCATCGGAGAATTTTCTGGTATCATGCCTTCCTAAAACTCAATAGTCGCTAGTAAAACCATCAAAAACTAATGCGGTGATCGCTCAAGATTGAGTAGAATGGATAAAAATTATTATCATAAAGCGAGTCTCTTGAGAAGTTATTTTTAAACAAAGGACACTTAAGTTAAATCATCCAAGCTGGGCTAACCAAAGTTTTACGGCAAATAAACAAAATTTGCAAACAAATCGCTGACATAATTAACTCACAGTTGGCTTTTTACTTTGGTTAGGTGGACGTTCGTTACCGGGGCGAGCCCGTACAAGGCTCTCCTTTCACTGTCAACGTCACGGATCAGGGACAGGGGGGCCCAGTAGTGAATTTCAACGAATCCGATCGATTTTTCGAGAACCGCGAGGCAGACATCCCCATTATGATCCCAGAGGGTTCATCAGCAGATTACCTCAAGTGCCGCGTTACTGATCCAGAGATGGAGTTACTTGATTACGAGCTGACCTACGACCGAGGCTCCAACTTATATCACGTGCGATTTGTACCGAAGAGACCTGGGCGCCACAGAGTAGACGTGGAATACGATGGTGTTCCTGTGGATGGTTCGCCGTTTATGATGAATATTGAAGGAACCGAAGGACATAAGAAGGTTTTTGCCTCGGGAGACGGAATTAAAGGAGGTGTGTATATTCAGTATTTTTTTTTCCAATTAGAGACTGAAAAATTTTATCGTTACGAATACAGAATGGTTATCTTCTGTCCCATATCCTTTGTAATTCAGGCACTCGTAAAGAAGTTGCTTATTAGGAAATGCCTTACGCCCTTTGTTTATGCACAGGAATGGTGAACGAGAAGATAGATTTCATGGTGGACGCCCGCACTGCCGGCCGGGGCAAGCTGACTGGGAAGCTTACCGGAGTCAAATATCACACTGATGTAGAAGTCATTGACTTGAAGGACGGGAGGTACGCATGTCACTACTTGGTACCACAGGCTGGGGCTTATGTCCTCTCACTAATGTGGAATGGACAGCACATACCTAACAGTCCTTATAAGGTCACTATCAGAGAAGCACAAGCTATGAGCGCCAAAAGTTGTTTTGTTGAAGGTAAGAAATTTTCTGCATGATTAATGCTTTATATTTCAGAATTTTAGAAGCTAATAAGATGCTATCTCAATCCGTTAAGAAAGTCAAATGACAGTGGCACAACTACAGGTGCACGCAAATGAAAACACGTTTTTAAACCAGTTTAACTTGTTTGACCTTTAGGGAGCATGCTCAAGGAGGGCACTGGAGCCACAGTGGGCCAAGCCATGGGGTTCAGCATCAACAGCAAAGATGCAGGCCCAGGGCAACTGTATGTCCGCTGTCAAGGACCCACAAAGGACTGTGATTGCACAGTGTTCGACAACAAGGATTCTACTTATCAAGTACAAATCTTTCCTTCCGAAGTTGGGAACCATCTCGTGTATGTGGAGTGGGGAGGAAGACCTGTACATGGAAGTCCCTTTTTGGTACGCGTGGGACAGCCCCCTGATCCCAGTAAAGTTCGTGTGTACGGTATGTCAACTCGTAATTTTCACGTTCTGTTCGCCCCCTATGAGGCATTTTGGAGTTTTACACTGAATTTTATGAAGAATGATTTTTAAAGATCTTCGATTTTCTCGACAGGTCCTGGTTTGGAGAACGGATTGCTACGAAATTTCAAGGGTGAATTCCTGGTAGAAACCAAAGGTGCTGGTCCGGGAACACTTAAGATCAGAATCCATGGACCCAGAGGGGCCTTCAAAGTGGAGATGTACCGGGACACATCAAAGGAGCGTTCTATTGGAGTGCGATACAACCCCACAGAGGCGGGGCGGTACATTATTAACATCAAATGGGCCGATCAGCATATACCCGGAAGTCCTTTTGATGTCACGATAGTTGAAACAAGAGACGAACTTGAATCGCTTAATGAATTGAAGGACAATGCAGTTCTATTTCAACAAAGGGATGCTAGATTATAGGAGACTGGTAGCTAGTAATTTTTAAACCTGTACCCAACCTTTTCTCGGTCAGTTATTCCCAAGATGGCGACCGTAAGGCTGAAAACTCCGCATTTTGAATCATCTCGATCTATCAATCTGACCTATAACTGCTAAATTTTTTTGTTATTTTAGTCGGTGCTAGGTGGTCGATCTATGGAGACAGTGTAAGTCTGGGAGGGAAAAAATGGCGTGCTTTCACAGACTTCATGGCTTTCTCTCGCACGTTGTTTTCGATTCCACCGACTTAGAGTCTGGCATATGCTGATTTCTTTTTCAATTATTGCAGTTGTCACATATCGGTGTTAGCAGTTATTGATTTAAAAACTTAGAGCAGGGGGGAGGGGAGGGTAGTTGGAGAGGCTGAGTAAAAAATGCGGTCTTTTTGTCGGTGAATATTCAAAATTATTATCCAACTGCACAAAGTAGAATACAAATAACGCGCGAACAGAGTGCAAATATCCTGCGATATTGTACGGTTATTTGGACAGTAGGTTATTTTGCACTGTAAAAAAACCTGTTTAACCAGTTGGCTGCGCGCGCTACGCTTCTCTATCCGCTTTGCTTTTCCCGTGTGATGAGAAATGATCAGAAGAACTTAGCAGAAAAAAAAAGCAGTTGGTTAATAAATAGTTTCTTAGACGTTTTGGTTCGTAGTATCGCTGAGTATTTTTAAAAGTTGTGCCACATGGGCGAGTAAAATTCCAAACAACGAGTAAAAATACTCGGCGATACTACACATCAAAACGTCTCATAACATATATGTATTTATGGATACATAGCCTGCTTTCGTGAGTGTCGAGGTTAATGCCTGTTTTCTAAGCAATTCCGCTGAGTATGCGGTATGAACCTTTGTATTACGTCGTAATCACTGACCTTGCCATTGGCGGGCTGAAGACAACATCATTTTGATTGACAGAATTTTGGATTGATATGGTTTACCTGGGTTTCCTAAAGGCACTGGGCGTGTTTACAGTTACCCATAGTGAATGTTTGGAGGAGCACGATATTTTTTTAAATTCTCGGAATTGGTATTGGAATATCATACACACAACTACTGTATTTACTCTCAACTCATGAAAAAATGCTCAATCGTACCTGCACAGACTAAAATGGGCACGAATAAAAACAGATCTTAGATCTGAAGGGGTGTATTTTGATGTTCGTCAGCCAAATTTAAATAGTCCTATTTAAGGTAACCATTCGATATTTATATGGTACTTTGGTTAGATTTAATCTACTGGTTTAAAATAGATATGCTGATATGGTTTTAGTACGATAGCAGTAAACACGGGTGCGTAATTTCAAGGTTAATCAAACCTAATTTATCAATGTGTATTGCACATAACTACATACTGTGCAACCAAAAATATTCGTTAATTTTGTAGTTTGTTTTAATTGTTTTAATTGTTTCATCTATCTTAAACAACCAGGATTGAGTATTTACATATTTTAGAACTTTTGGAAGAGTTTACCTCGATTATGTTTTGACGGGCTTGAAAAGCATAATTCTCACTATATTTAAACCTAATACTAAAAGTTTCCTCGCAAAGGTGGAGGAAAAAAGAAAAAAAAAACAAACAAAAATATCAAGTTAGAGACGTGGAAGGAATCTAGGTGATCCAGGGTAAGATTAATATTTTCAAAAGGTAGTGTGTATTTTATTTTTAGTCAGGGCATGGTGTGAGCTTGCAGAGATTGGAAGCAGCATAGAAATCTTTTACTACCGTTGTAGGGGTTGAGCTGCAGCAGAGTGGAGTGAACTTCCCATAATGATAGCCGATGGATCGAGTAGAAATTCCAGCAGAAGGCTGTCCTTTTCTACATCGATACATTTTAAGGTTTTTAGCTAGATTTTTTCCTTATGTGTAAATAAAAGTCTATTTTGGCCAGGTGACGTGTAACTGAATTACCATAGAAATATGTAAGCCCCTCACGATGCGGTAAACGTAAATGATATGCGACCCACGTATCGGGCAGTGCGCAAAAGTGGGTACTCTGACATGATAGATTTCTCTTTAGAGGTATCTCAATAGAAATTGGTCACGAATTGTCAATAGTTCTCCCCGTGCGCAGACAACTTACTTCCCGTGTCAATGTGAAAATGTTACAAGTAGAGTTTTGCGTAATTGTTCTCCTGGAGAGCGCTATTAAACCTCGCGCCGCGCTGTGAGTGTTTAACCGACCACAATTAAGTCGCATGGAATTTTTAATTAGGCTGAGAAATAAGATGAATTAATCTTAACTGATGCAAACACTGAAACGTGCTTGGGATAATTCGAGAACATGATTGTTTCAATGCACGGTGGGCGTGCGGTTTTTCTAGTATCTTGTGCACGATTTGTGAATCTATAAAAACTCCAAAAAATTTTCCAAGCTCTTGGCTTACAATTAGAGTTAATTTCCCCTTCAGTTATCATTTCCAGTTCGTTCTCTCGACTTTTGTGATATCGTTCGTTTTATCAATGATATTTTGCGGTTTCGCTGACGTGAAGGATATTCTGCAAGTAATGAAAATCGTCTCCTAGTAATGCAGTTACGTAGGTCTCGATATTGACCCATTTAATAAACTTTTTGTCGTTAAACTTGTCTTCTGACCTTCCAATGGCTTTCCACGAACCTTAAAAGTTGTTTGTATGGCTGTGGTAATACTAAAAACACTGTTTGAGTAGTGGGGAAACCATGAAGAACGTTCGAAATCGGTAAAGAAACTTCGCGAAGTTTCTTTCAGCGATACATATAATTTCCGGTTTCCGACCACGAATTCTTATACGTGATATGAGGCCAGAATGTGAAGAGAGCGGAAGTGGTGGACGTTTTAGTCTATCGCGGCTTTGTAATATCTAAAGTACTAAAATAGTTGTTTGAATGATAAACGCACGCGTGTAAATCGGTATTACGATATGACACAACATAAGCCAGAAACATACAAGTGGTTAAGACTAGGCCAACTATAGGACCCTTTAAAGAAAACCACTGAATTACCAGACTAGGCAGGAAATTTACGTCAGCAGTCTTTAGAGTTTCATTTGATCAGATTTTGTGCCATCTAAGAAGAGTTGTCTTGCAAGTGAAAATATGTGACAATCTTATTATTAATTAGGTGCATTTAACCACCCAAGTCGAATTAACGCTTGTACTTAGGCACGTTTCTAGGTATTTGTTACTCCTATGATATGCATTACAATAGCTTACAATATTTATTACATAGTCTTTAGACTATGTACTTTCTTACAAGAGGGATTAATTTTCTCTGTGGTATTTTTTCAATTTGGTCGCCTCTGTGAAGAAGGTTGTATTGTGCAAAACTGTTAATGAAAGCCAAACCAAGACAAAGAAAGGACGGTATCATGGCATTGCCTTTAAGACCGCTCAAGAAATCATTAAATCCGAATGCAAAGTTTTGACAAAATGTTTTTTTTTTCCATTTCACAGCTTCATCATTGATCAGTTTTCTTATCAGGGGCTTTACTCATTAGTTGTCGTCTACTGCTTTTAAAAAAAAATGCTATCGGTTTGTTTTTTGTTGCCTGTCACGCAAAGAATTTACTTTCACTGCATAAAGCTGTTTGTAAATTATGTACATAGAGTCATAGTTGTCTAGCCGGAATCTCTGCTTTTTTTTATGCGTAGATTTTTTCAACTTGTGACATTGTTTCAAAGAGAGCAAATTTTTTTCCTTAACTTGCTCTCAGTTGAAAGAAAGGTTTCATTCTTTTCAAAAATCAAACGTGCTTTCTGCCTGGAATCCGACTCAATGATAATTACAGAAACGACGAAAATGTAGATTCACTCAAACACCAAAAAAACGTTTGTTTGAATACCAATCATAAAAATTTTATTTTATTTTATAAACAAAACAGTTGAATGATAATCCGTGGAAAGGCCCTTCAACATGCAAGCGGATCTACTTTCTCCTAGATTTGTTGCTCTACAGAAAAGCTCTTTATTTCATCGTTTTACCTGTCCGTCAATGCAAAAAAATCTCTGATAAATCAAGGGTGATGAAAAATAAAGCGAGCAGAAAACGTGAAACACATTGCCTATCAACAACTTTTCTTATAGCGGAAACGTGATAGAGGAAATTGGAAAGACTAGGTTGCTGAACAGAAAAAAAACAATGGTTTATATTAAATCTGGTTTTATATCACGTACCTGAGATGGAAGGTGGCATTTACAAATGAAGGATGTGTATTTGGGGAGCTTAAAAGCTTCTAAGCTAATGCATTTTACGATCTTATGAAATTTTGCGATATGCATGCTCTGTGACACGTTCTGAGGTAAACATAACATGGGCGGAAATAGGAAAACACGAAATTCTCTTAATTAAGTGTGTTTTTCACAAAATTTGGTCCTCTGATTTTCAAAAGAAAGCTGCCTTTAGGTTTTTAAAACAGAATCCTTTGACTGAAGATTTTTTTCTTACAAACGAGAACAGTACAGAATGCTATTATCAGAAAAGTTTTTCAATATATTTATACTTGTCTATAAAAGAAAACTAATGTTTTGAAGCGCCACAATTTTAATGCGAAAACTTAAAAGACACTGAATATTAAATGTAAAGTTAAAGACTCTGCGATGTTTTTAATGGCACCTTGATTAAATCAAACCATTGATTTGAACATTTAAAACTTTCTTCAACTAATCGCTTTTTTTGTTAAAAGCAGGAATCCGAATTTTCGAAATGTACCCATAAATTTAAGGGCTTCAAAATGTCTCTTTTGCGTGTTTCGTGCGCAAAGTGTGAATATGTTCATCCTAAATCATTCTTGAGCGTTTTGGAGCATAATTTCCGGTTTTCTTTTTTTACGGTTTGAGGCAGAATAAAATTACAATACCGAGAGAAACTTCTATGAAAACATATTTCATATTTCTAATTCGCTGGCTCAGTTGATTATTTTTCTTTTGTTTGGCAGCCACTTGCCAAAACAAAAGTGTCAATAAAGATTTTCAATTTTCGTTTGCAATGCAAATATGCAGTTAATTTATATTTTTAGCTCATAAGCAGTTTTGTCACGCGCCAAAGGCCAATATTGAAACAAAAGTGTCAATAAAGATTTTCAATTTTCGTTTGCAATGCAAATATGCAGTTAATTTATATTTTTAGCTCATAAGCAGTTTTGTCACGCGCCAAAGGCCAATATTGAGACCACATATCTATACACAAACCCAGCAAGCGTGTCCACCGACGTCCTAAAAATAATTGCTCTTGAAAAAGGCGTCATCTCTGAGAAGGTCAGCTGAGTCGAAATTTTCCTTTAGCAGATAAAGGACAGATCTCCATTGTTGCGAAATCCTTTTATCCTAATGTGCCAACTCCCCAAGGAAGCGTAAACCGCTCAGCTGCCCTGTAATGATTGTGAATCAAAACAGGAGTGATTATACTAATTGTTTCACGTCGCCTCGGGAAAATTGAAATAAAAGGCGTTCTGAAGGCACAAGCGTCTGTTCTCAGTGTGTTTACAGCACCGGAGACGGACTTCTTTCGTTAATTTAAATAAAAAAAATCAAGAACTACGCAAAATTCTGCCAAGTATAACTCGAGAGGGACAAAGAGAACACGAGAGAATATGGAGGTGCCACGGCAACCAGCGGATTTCACATGCAGCGTGAAGTATTTAGGAAGTCAAAATGCCATGTATCCACAGACTGGGACTTTGGAAAACATCGCCCGGGTGTATCAAAAAGGTTGTGCGCTTAACGAGAGGGACATCGAAAAATTGACTGTTACTAAAGACAGTGTTTCAGTTCGCAGCAAAAACACCGAAAAGATTTTCAAACTACGCAAAATTTTGTTCTGCGCAAGCTACAAGAAGATTCCCAAAGTTGTTGCGTTTAACTATATGGTTTCGTCCTCGCCGAAGCGATTGGAGTGTCATGCGTTTTTATGCGGGTCTAACGAAGAAGCGAGAGCTGTTGTCGCCGCTCTGACCTCAGCGTTCAGAATGGCGTACAACGAGTCGAAAAACGCAGGTGAAATTCACGTCGATGAAACCATTACAAATCACAAGATTTGGACAGTCGATTCAGCTGAGGAGAAAGAGATTAAAGTTATTTTCGCATTGCCTCGGAAAATCGGTGAAATATTTGATACTTTGACGAATTGCATGACCGCAAAGTGATTAACTTGAGGAACGTGAGGAAAAAATTGATGAGGACGACAGAAACTTATGCCGGGAGACGTCTGGAAAGTGTTAATTTATGCAATGGGCTGCACTCGCCGATCATATATGGACAAGTACCTGACGAAAGAAACTTTCTTCTTTGATTATCTCAAGACATGAAGTCTCGTTTCGAAGTTAATTACAATTTTAGGCGGTCAGTTACAGCAGTTTATAGAACATAAATTTGAAACTTATATTGTAGCACGGCAAAAAGACATCTCTATTTTGCCAAATCACATGCGTGTCGATTTGCAGTAAGCTAGTTTATGGTTCGCGTACCCCATTCTCGTTCACTGCATCAATATCGAAGATACGAGTGAGTCATTTTAGAAATTTTGCCTCAAAATTGTAATATAAGTTATTCAAATAAATGCAGAAATAACATTTCCCAGCAAACTTCGATGAGAAGCGGGTGGCGTGCGAGAGAATAAGCAAATTGAAAATTAAATTACTCTAATATAAACAATTTTTCTTAATTTATTTATCTTCACGACAGAGAAAGCTGACAACAGATAGTTCATCAAACGTTGAGTACGCTCCGATGTCCTCTCTATCAGTATCAATTGTAAATACGGTAACGGGATGGTATCAACGGGAGCTTGATCGAAATTGTATGTGAGGAAAAAAACTTGTAAATAGGACAAATCTTGTGTTAAAATCGGTGTAAGATATTTGAATGAAACTTCTGTAGATACATCTAGAAGCTTTCCAGTCGAACGCTGAAAGAGTGAACATGAAATAAAATGTGAACATATGTCGTCTGGTTTGTTGTAAATAATTTGTGTTTAGATTTCAAGCGACGGAAGTCCCAGCGCTTTTTGGGAAAAATCACAACATCTGTCTATGTGTTTTTAAAATATTCGTTGTTCACAGAATCTTTATTAGTAAACTAGACGGTTACAAGAAGTTCGTGTTTTCGATCACAAACTTTAATAATCAAAAACTTGATTTCCCCGCTTCTTACAAAAAACTCAAAATATGAGGACATTGAAGGTGGTTAGATTGAGGCTGGTGTAAGATTTTCTGTATGAAAAGAGAGAGAAAAAGGAACGAAAGTGCATATTTTCTTCGCTCGGAAACAGCAATTTTCTATCAGACGTTCTTGATACGTGCAAATCACGGTATTGCATATAGCAAGCTGAATCAATAAAATGGAAAATAATCGCTGATTGTAGACTCACTTCACAACACGAGCGGTAATGAAATAGGAATTTTCATTTCGTGAGTATCCTGTTTGTCTAGCAAACACCTCCGGATATTATCTAAAAGCAATAGCATAAAACCGTGATTTTTTTTTGTTTTAATATTTTTGGCCAGTGAAGAGACCAATAGTTTATGAGATTCACTCTTAAATTTTTCCCTAACTTTTGCAATTAAGACGTCTGAAGGTGTCATTCCTTTTCCCACTAATTCTTCGTTTGAATGGCTTTCTTTCATCTTTGTATCGTGTTTGCGATCTGTTTGATAAGTTTGCAGTGACTCACTTGTCACAGTGAGGCCTCGCAAACATAAGTTTGATTAAGTTCTTAATCATCTTGAATGAGAAAAGTTAAAATATATTTATTTGCGTGCAAATTGAATTTCTGTGGCGGTGTATTTGAGACAAAAGCGAAAATAAAGTACTTCTCTCTAAGACTACTTTTGGAAGGAAGATGACGATTTTTTTAAGTTTCTTTAAACTCTTGCATTTTAAATTAGTAAGCGACTGTGAAAAGAAGCGTGTCATGCATAACAAGAAATTACTTTTAACCCAGTTGGCGACGTTAGGTACAAGAGACGGTTTAATAAAAGGATTGAAATCAAAATTTGAGGTTTCCTTTCGACACGTAAAACTTAAATGGAAATAAGATTAATTTAGCGACTCTAATGGAATATCTTGTCTTCTCTCAGTATAAATTGTTTTCCAAAACTTACTCATCAGCATCATAAATGATTTAGTCTGTGTTCTAGAATATTGTAGCTTTCAATGGACCAAGCCAAGGAGAACGGAGCATTTCGTTTTTAAAGATACGAGAATAAACAGGAGACTTGTAGGTATCATTACCCATTAAACCTGTGACTTCCAGAGTTGATTGACATGTAACTTCTTCCTTAAAAATATCCCAGCATACATTAACCAACTAGCAGGTGATGAGAATACGCAAACTAATCAGGTAGAAGTTGTAAAAACTTATTTCTCGTAACTCATTTGCAAAGAAATGTGTAGCAGCCAGAGGAGAGAATTAACAATCAGATCTTAGGAGCCAGTGAAAGGTTAGGAGAGAATGATTGACTGCTCAGTTAAAACTATTCCGTACAGTAGATACAGTGATATTATTTGAAGAAAATGTAAACCAAAGGCAGGTCGGGCGATCAAATTACAAAACCAATCTTACGGAACGGTTTAGTGTGTTTTCAGTTTCGGTTGAAGCCTTCTGTTAAGGAGTGTAGATATTTCTGTCACGAGTAGGCGCTAAGAGAAACTAATGAGACCATTCTTTTCTTTTGGCGGGCGTCTAATTAGTGTAAATGACAGTGACTATTAATTAAACACTGGTTATGGACCATTTCGCTCCATTCTTATTTCTCAAGTGGCTTCCTTGAGAGTCTGGTCATATGAAATCCATTAAAAGAAAGTGAATGTGACACCCTTAGACGCACCTAACAACCTCATCGCCGGTTGTTTTCAGTCAATTTTTCAAGATGGCAGCCGGTCTTTCCAGATCCTGATTGTGATCGGGAGGGTCTGAGTTCGAGACTGGTTTCAGGCGACATACGGTATGTGAATCATGCTCCTTTATGTCCTATGGCTGGGTTTAAAAACAGTTTAGTCACTCTTAATTGGTCATTATTCCTTTCTCGTTACTCCACAATATTCCCTCAACTATTCCGCAATCTTTTTGATGTTTTCTATGACCTGCGATTGACAAGTCATTCCTGGAAAAACGTGAAAACAGACAGGAGAAAACGTGAAAACACCCATGGGTGATGGATGATGGGCTCCTGTCTTTCGTTTTGAAAACAACCGAATTAGACAGTAATTTTTTAAAGGCTTTTGACAGGTTAGGAACTTGGTAGCCTTTAAAATTCATTCTTAGTGTATTTTTATAATCTTGAAAGTTGGGGGTTGTAGTCCCGTCTCTAGTTTTGCCCAGACTGCTTCCAAAGCCCTCAATGAATAATGCCTAGTAAAAACAGTTTGAACTCTAAGTCGTGCAACTTTCTTCAGTACACATAAAGCATTCCTTTCTGTGTGGACTGTAAGTTAGAGTTGACGACCTCGCAATGACTGAAAAAACAAGGACGAGTCTGACTTTGATCCGTTAGTCAGTTTTTTATGTGGGCTCTCTTTATTGGTTAGAACTCAACGACAAGACCAGTCTAATTAACAGGCCTTTCATCGACATTTCTGGTTTTTAATTCTTACCGGCTAGAGGCTGAAATTTAGAAAATGACTGATTTGCCTGAGCAGCTCAGTTTAAGAACGGAAGTCCCCGTCTGAAGGGACTTGCCTCTCTAATCAGGAATAGTCAGGTGACGTCTATGCGGTGCTAAGCCCATTCATGTACGCATCCTGATGATACATCAAAAACAGCCCTACGAGTTGTGTAAAATCGGTTATTCTCGAGAACAATATAATAAACAAATACCAAAGGCACTGAAAAAAAAGAAAAAGGAATAAATAAGTGAATAATTCACTTCACAAATAATTGATTGAGACATCTCTACGCTTCCAAAATCGAAAGTAAAAGAAATTAAAAAAAGAAAAAAAACTATAGCTATATTAATTAAAGAAGTGAGTTCAGTCTGATGCGACGTAAATCGCTTTAATCATTTTCACAGATGAATTGCAGCACTAGTATTGCTCATACAGTTTCCTAACACTTTGTTAAGCTAAAGAGAACACGCATCTAGAAAACGCTCTCTTCTACCAAATCGTTCAAATCTAATAACTTGGCTGACTAAGAATCGGCTGTGAGAATCTTAGATAGAATCTTGCTTTTTGGTATTGCCTAGATTATGTGTAAAAAATTGAATATACTTTTTTTTTTTAAAGTAAAACAGTTTAGCTTACTTCGCGCTGACCTCCATTGTCATCCATGTTACGGTTTTTAACGAGCCTTTTCAATAGGAATAAAGAGTAATTGTTTTTCTTAAAATTTGGTAACTTGTGACCTCATGTTGTTGGTCAACTACAGCATTATTTACGACGTAAACTAGGAGTCATGAACGTTTCCTAAATATGAAATAATGAGGTTTCCCTCCAGCTGAGAGATTTGGAGTCGCGAAAAGATGTTTGTCATTGTTTTCTATCTTTAGACAGTGAAATGTTTATTATTACTCTTCATTTTATCTGTGCTTATTGCGTCAGAACAATAAGCTCTTCATCGTGTGGTTAGCTTTAGCCTATCAATTTTTTCCTTGGTTGAGCGCGCAACTTAACCGAGTTAATGCATCGAATACTACAATTTAAATGGATTTTGCATGCCTTTGGAAGTTCATGAACTATTTAAGGTGCTCTGAAAACTTGTGAAATCTCTTAAAACTCAGCCATTAGTGAAGATGCTCTTAATAACTGGTGTGCCAAAAAAGAAAACAAAAGTCCACGAATTCAAACGGACGTTTGTGTTTGGGGTCTTGGAATTATAGCCGCCTTTCCTTTGGCAAGCACCTCGTCGCCCTTTGAGTCTGTGAGAGCTGGCCAGACACAAACAGTCACGGTTGGCATCCCCTCTGTAAGTTCTTCTTCTTCTTTTTCAAAGAATTCCTCAAACCTCTTGCCACGCACTTCATTTGCCAGCCTAATCTTTATTGGTGGAAGCTGGTTTACCATTCTCCAGGAAATTTGTACGCATTCTGCGATGAAATTCTTCATTTTGAATAGAATATCGTCGTCTAAATGAGGCAGCAAAGGATCTTCTTTTATCCACTGTCCACGAAATTTCTTCAACTCTGAAAGCGTTTTCTGCGAAAGAAGAATAAACTTGAAAATCGTGCAAATATTGGACAACCACTCGGCTGTAGAAAAAAAATCTATTTTCCTAATATTTGATTGATTCTTTTGGTTCTCTAGAATTCTACTCAATTATACTCCGGTCTGACGCGACACTAATTGTTCTCATAAATTATTTTATATTTTTTTGCGAAAAGTACAGAAATGGAGTTACCTCTTCCAGGGCTGTTAAGTCACAGCTGACTGCCATTTCCTTAAGTACAGAAGAGCAAGCGACCTGGAAGGACTCCCCTAAAAATAGGGACTCCATTTCCCTTGAGAAAGATTGCTGCATACCTCTCTCAAAAAGCTTTGATGCCTATGGGGAAAAGGGGAATCTTGCATAAAAGTTTTTTCTTGAAACACTGAATAGTGTCATAGTCAAAGTGAATAACCTACGCTCAGTTTCAGTCAGGTTTAGTCTCTCTATTTTAACTGAGAATGATTTAAAGAAGATTTACCATAAATTGTCTAATCATGCTAAGCCAAAATGAAATATCTGAAACGACTGTACCATATATGATTAATATGAAGCAGAATGATAGTAATGGCAATAATAATACTAGTATTAATAAGAATTATCATCTTCATAATTGTCACTAAAATTATGAGGAAAAGCTTCTTTTATAATATTCCTGGCTACAAACATGATAATTGTAATAATATTGTATCTAACAGTCTTTTGACTGATTTACCTCTGGGGAATGAGATCCTTTCGTTTGGTGGATAACACCTAAGGATGGTGCACATTGGAAAAATTTCGGCAAAACACTTTGGGCGAATGCACATTTTGTGGATTTTGCAACATCATGTGCCACCTGGGAAAATAATATCATTTCAATTTAAACACAAGGTGCTCACTCCCTTGTGATATACTCTGACACTATACATTATAAATAGAATAAGAGAAATGATAAGTTTTGAGCTCGGTTAAGAAATACAGAAAGATGTTTTTCGTCTTGTCAAGAGTGGGACAAAGAAAAAATTCTGAGTTCCCACGAGGAATCGAACCTCAAACCTCCGATTTCTTGGCGACACCATATATACTGGCGACAGTTCTCCTCTCGACGCTGTAGTTTTAGAAACGTTAGTCGCCCTCTAGGAAACGAAGGCTGGTAACTTAAGCAAAGATATCTTTGTGGCAAGAACTTTGAGGAGATTTGAAACAAAAACGAAAATCTACGAGAATTTTCGAATCAATTATGGTAAACATAATTTTACGACAAATGAGTCGCCAAATTGACGGTCGATTTTTCGAAGCCGTATCTCGATCTACTTACTAGCTTGAGAGTAGAAAAAAGTACATCTTTCGTTAAAATGGAGACAAATGGTCTTTTTAAATGAATTATCTTTCATGGCTTTCGTTTTGGACGATATTATTCGATACTCCCACGCTGGTACTTTTGGCTTGGATTCATACTTAGCAAAAAATGTAAACAATATGCAGAAGTACGGTATAGTTTAGAGGGTTGACTTCGTAAATCTAAAGATTGTAAATAGTTGAAGGATCTTTGGTTCATTTACTGATTACTATTACCACAAATATGCGGCATGTCACATCCTTTCTGTACCAGAGGTCATTCCTTTGATCCAGCTTTCCGAATGCCTCGATCGCTTGTCTGCGTTGAGCACCATCCATTCTTTTGAACTTTTTTACAACGTCACTTCGCTTGTTTTTGCTTGTAACGTCCTCAGAACTGCTCTGGTAACAACGATGATTCAATTCTGAGTCGTCGCCTATCCTAATGAAGAAGAAGAGTTAAAATTATGGGCTATCAGTACAACTGCATCATGCAGGCAATGAAAGCTTGAATCGACACAAATGATTTCCATGAATCAAAAATCCTTTTCTCGAATGTTTCCTCAAATCTAAAAAATTATCTTCAACCTACCTTTGTCGCAAACTTTGGTTCTCTTTTGTTAATTGTTCAGTTTGCTTTTTCAAGTTATGAATCTCTGTTGACAGTGCGTTCACCTTCTTAAACCACTGCTCAGCGATCTTCGCCGCTTCATTTTGGAACCCCATGAAGGAGTTGAAGTCACTTGCGCTGGATCTTTCGCTCATCTGTGTGCCTAATAGCTCGGCGCGATTCCGAGTAGAATGTTCGCAGCTTACTTCTTGATTAATAAACCTCCTTTTACCTGGTGTGGAGGGACACAATCCCATGAAATAAAATCAAGTCTCAACAAGTTCAGCAAGACATCGGAAATGCATTATTTATTTCTTAGAATTTGGGTGTGTCGTTTCTAGGAATCATGACATATGATCCTAAAAAAAGCAATAGACAAGAAGTCTGTGCAGCTGCTACACGAAGAGACCTGTTTGTAAGTCTTATTTTCGAACATTCAGTCGCAGATTTGGTAAATTTGATAGAGTGATGTAGATAAAATAATATTATGGAACATTTGTTCCGTGGTGTCGACAAATTTCTTTCGAGATACAGACGATTTCTTTCGATTTCATGATCGTTTCAGTTTGCATAACTTGAAGGATATTTTGGAAACCATGGCTTCTCAAACTCCAGTTCAAAGAGATGTCATTATTGCGATCGACTTCGGCACTACTTACAGTGGATTTGGATACGTTTTCCTGAACGCATCTCAAGATCATATCTACGTGTTTCAAAAGTGGGGAAGAGGACAAGGAATGGGCTACGGAAAAACACCAACAGCTCTCCTCCTCACCGAGAAAGGCGAATTCCATAAGTTTGGCCATGCAGCAGTAGAGACGTACGGGAAACAAGCGATGTCAAAGAAGGATTGTAGAAAGCTTTTGTATTTCGATAAATTTAAACTTCTGCTCCATTCCAAAAAGGTAAGTCTGAACCGGTTTGTAATTTTCCTTCTGCATTGATTGCTTACGTGTCAACATTTGTTAATATGGTTTTCAGACCATCCGTGAGTAATCGAAACTAGCGTTGTAAAGTTGTCTGCTTGTCGTAACGTTTACTGATTCCGACCAAATTATCAGGTTAAATAGAATATGCTTACCAAACTAGCGACTGAAGTTCGTCGGTGCGTTTCAAATGTTCTCGTAGGAACCTTATAATTCTGTTTCTTTTAGTCAGTGACGCAAAACGCTACGCAGCGATATGGTAAACTAATGCGGAAACTCCATACTTGTTATGGTTTTTACTAAAAGCGATTGAAACGATGTAACATTTTTTTAAAGACAGCGAAGGGTCACCGTATTCATTTAGAAGCAGTAGTAGCAAGTTGTGTCTACGCAATTATTCCTTATGTCATCATAGCAAAATTTTGTGTAGGCTTATGCCAACTTCATGTTTAGGAGGAGTCAGAGGATGGTTCTTTATTCGATGCTGGCATTGCAGCTTTCTTGTTCCATCGGCAAAAAACTGTTACTGCTCAATTCAGAATAGGATATGTCAACATAAATGACGATCAACGTCCTTAGTGCGCTACAGCTTCGATCAGAAAGAGAAGATATCATTATGAGTGCCTGAAAGCCACTTTATTTCGCGTGTGAAACCATGCAAAATAACGATGTACAATGAAATACTAAGTTACTACCCTGAAAGATGAAGGTTTTGCGGAATTTTCAATTCGCGAATAAGGGACCTTGCAGGATCGGTTTTTTTTCCGGTTCAAAATGATCAAAATTTTCTCTCGGTACTGAAAATTGAGTAGAGCCGGGTCGCATTACAGACCAATTTTTTTGAATTATTTATTTATTATTTTTTTGAAATAATAACTCCATGTTAGCGTATAGAGTGGTATGTTGCTCGCACCAATCAGATCGTTTAGTGTACTTATCTCGCACCAATCAGATCGCTGCATTAGGGTATGTATCTCGCACCAATCAGATTGCTGCATTAGGGTATGTGTCTCGCACCAATCATATCATAGCATTTGAATATCCTGCACCAATCACAGCGTTTGGGTATTGTTTTCTTGCAAATGATGTCATGGATCAAAGAATGACATTAATCAGAAATTATGGGCTAATTTGATAAGTGTAATGGTTTGTGGCTTTTGCGAGAGCCTCTTCGATTAAGGCCAAGATTTATCGGGATACGAAGGGTACGCATTTAAAATTTTCAAGTTAAAACGTGTCTTTTCCGCTCCTTTACTCACAACGCACACGCCAAACAACTTACATTTCATCACGTATCATGAAAACAACGTCCAAAGTCCAATAAGAACATACCTAATCATTGCCCTACATGAACAAGCAATGTTTCACGTGCTTGAACTGTATTCCACCAATCAAATTCCATTTTGCCACATTGGACTTAGCTCTATCGCGTGTCATTTTCTTGTATACAATTATTATGTATTCTAACTGTATTGTCCGACCCCACTGAAAAAAATTCACGTGGAACTAAATGTTCTTATTCGAGATAGCAATATATTTTTGGTTCAGGTCTATTAGAGGTACGACAGAGTTCCAGTTTGTTTTTCGTTGTAAAAGTACGCAGAATTATATTTTTGAGGTAACTAACTGTGGACGAATAACTTTGATTTTTCTCTCTGTTGGAGGAAAGGTAGTAAGCGTAGTCTCTTTCGCAACCGTTATTTGGTATGTCACGCAACGCGCTCTCTCTCAAACGGGAAAATAGAGGGCGTTCTGTGACGAGACCAACAACGGCTGCGAAGGAGACAACAGTAAGCGTGGCACCGATGCATTTCATTTCATCATGAAAGTATTTAGGCAATAGAGACAGTAGATCATATAATATCTGTGTGAGTTCAGATAAATTGGGTTGTTTTCTGTCTTTCTGCGATATTTTCGTTTTTTGAAAGTTATGTTATGTCAGTGACAAAAATGAAAACATTAAGTGCACAAACTGTCCTACCTCTACCCACCCAGCCAAAAATATAACTCTTGCATGCTGGGCATGCCTATGTTTTTGGCTTGAAAAATCGGCTGGAAAATCAAATTGCATCAGACCGGAAATGAAAATAAAATTGTGATTACCTGAGAGATAGGATTCGAGAGACTAGGTATAAACATAGATGAGATTTTCACATCATTCTACAAAACTTTTAATAACATTGTAAATAAGCATGCACCAGTTATAAATTTTTCAAAGCGCATGATCAAACAATTTTCCACGCCTTTGAAAACCAAGGGATTACGAATTTCAATCCAAACAAAAAATTGATTATTTCAATCCGGTGATTTTGAGAAATATAAATATTACAGAAACAAAATTTGTTTTCTGATTCGCTTAATCAAGAAAAGTTATTATTTCAAGAACAACTTAAACGATATGCGAAAAACATGGCAAGCTGTAAATGCGCTACTCAATCGTCGGAAAAGAAACCTTGGGCCAGTCAATAAACTTAAGGATCCACAAAGCACGAATAATAGTGTTATCAATGACCCATTGCGTATACCTAACATTATGAATAAGTATTGCTCATCTGTTGGTAATAACTTAGCAACCAAACTGCCTCAAGCTGGGCATCCTTATAAGGATTATCCCTGTAACTCCAAATCACCTGACACCTCATTCTTCCTCAAACCTGTTACTTCACATGAAGTGAAGCTTGAAATTTTATCCATACGGAACAATAAGTCATCTGGCCTTTACTCTTGTCCTACACAACTTCTTAAACGCTCTTGTGACATAATATCCCCTGTCCTTGCAAATTTTCTCAACAAGTCTGTTAGTCTAGGGGTATACCCCTCTAAACTGAAAATGTCCAAAGTTATACCCGTCTACAAAGCTGATGATGAAACAGATGCCTGCATTACTGTCAAACTTCAACAGGATTTTTGAGAAAATTATGTACCACAGAATGAAAGTTTTCATACAAAAACACCAACTATTATCTTCATCCCAATACGGTTTTCGCCTAAAAAATCTGCACTTAATGTTCAAAGTAAGGCTTTTTTTTCACGTGTTGGCGTTAAAATCTGGAATGGGATACCAACTAGTCTCAAAAACTCATCCTAGAACTCTTTTAAAAAATCCATTAGAACAAAATTAATCGAAATTCTAGAAACTGAAAACTCCTATGTCGACATAGATACTCTAATTAATAAGATGAAAGATTAATTACTAACTGTAATTATGTTTAGTCTGTAGTTTTCCTCTTTACATATTATCCTAATACCTAGATGTTTGTAAGCACGAAGATTAATGTCTACATATTGCAATTGTATGTGAATATTTATTGTATTAAATTGTGTAAAATTATTTGTCAACTGTCTGTCTTGCCGCGATTAGCTCTTCGCTATTTGCAAGCCAGCCTAGTAATGACCATCTGATCTGAACAAACTTAAAAAACAAAACAAAACAAAAAAAAAACAAAAAAAGCTGATCGGGTCGCATTTCAACGAGTGAAAATGCAAGCGTCAGTCACACAGAGAAAATTTTAGCAGTGAAATTAAGTTCAGTCACGACACTTGCCATGTGGCCGAACAGGGTAACAGTGACTCTCAGATTTTCTTTGTTCGGCGCTCACAAAAGGCCAAATGGGGGGTGTGTTGCCCAGGTCCTGAAGGAAGGAATACTGCTCACTTCTTAACATTTGATGGCAGTAATAAGGAAAGGGAAAATCTCGCTTGTCCATGCTGTAACTTCGAACTGCACGCAATGCAAACGTCAGCATGAATGATGAAATTTCGCGCTCTTTTTTTCACGTTCGAGACCTTGCCGTCTATATTGGGAGTCTTTCTTTTCAATTGTTGACAGCTTTGGCGGCGGGCTCCTTTGTTTTTTTTTTTGAGATTTGGAAAAATTGATCAGCCCCACCCAAGCACACCGGCGTCTCTGATGTTTTTTTTCCGATTTGAAAATTTTTGAAACATTACAAATGAGGGGTTACATTAGAAAACAGATGTGTTGACAGATTTTAATCCCTAGAGTAAACAATATTCTGCAAAATCGTCTGTAATGCGACCCGGCACTACCTTACAATTCAAAAGCCAAAAATTAGAACTGACACTGTGACATGTGTCCAACTTGAACGAGGAATGCAGCAAGTAAATTATTATCGTACCACATATAACTCAGTCGCCTGAATAAGGAGTTCAGTCGATTAAAACTCTCCTCACATTTTTGGCCAACATTCTTTGGACCTCTTTTTACACGAATGTTCGGGTGTTACTAAACTGTGGATCAGCAGACCGTGGAACCTCCGGAACCCTTAGTTTTTCGTTTATAAAGAGAAAATAATCATGAAATGAAATAAAACCTGAAAATACATTAACACTGTTCGAAATTTCGTTTTTGGGTATATAGAAGATAACGTTAAAAAAGAAATCTTTTTTTATCTACTTTGACGTCCAACCACAGGACACCCAAGCTCACACAGTGAGCCTTTTTGAATATGCAAATAGGCTCACGTTGCGCGATGGGAGCACTGGGCTCCTGGTGAAATACAAGGATTTGCATGGAAATGAACATTCGCGCTCTCAACCTTTAAAAAATCTGGACTAGTTTTGAATCAGGATAAATTTACCCCGCTCAAGCGGTTTTTCTTTTGCATCTTGTGAATTTCTTGGGCTGATTTAGGGACACTTAGCTTGGTTTTAGTTCATCTGCTTCCAAGATGCCTCGGCGAGTAACACCAACCAAACGAATCCACTGGAAGCAAAACGCTGTGAGTTCACGAGTCCAGACGCCCCGACCACCCAGAAATTCCACCGGCATATAACCGATGTCACGCGTAATTCGATTCATTATTTACTTAAAAACATCAAAACGCCTACAGTACTAAACACGAATACGAAAATTTACATTAGAGAACGAAAACTCACGAATAAGCCCACAGCAAATATTAACCTTTACGGTACATAGCTTTAAAGGCAGAAAACGACGACTGCTTCTTTAAAAGTGGACATAAAAGTTGATGCAGAGGACTTAATTTATACACAAAACCTGACAAATTACTTGACACTATTACGTAACATCAAGCATGAGGCTTTACACGGATATCGCGGTACCCAAACCGTCAGAGCTTTCAAATTATGGTTCAATTCTTGCTAAGGGTTAGGGTTAGGTTTGTACGTTGAATGCCACCACAGTAAAAGTTAGACGTCAAGGACAATTAAAACATATTTTCCTTCTGAACTGATATTCTTTACACCCGAAAACGAACTTTCAAACTGTTTTAAGGTCTTTTTAGTTTTTCTTTCATTTCATTTCTATTCTTTTGCAAAAAATATAGTGTTCGACAGGTTCCGGAGGTTCCGTGGTCTGCTGATCCACAGTTTAGTAACACCCCGGATGTTATGCAATAATTCTCAATCAATTATGATAAATTCTAGCATACAGCTAGTAAGTTTAAAACATCTTTAGTCATCTTGGTGGTTGCGTCGAAAAATTCCCAACCTTTTTCAAAAACACAAGAACCAAGCAATGTTGCATGTCCGTCTGGTCAATGTTTGCAGCGTTCAAAAAAGAAAATACAAGGAAGGTTGAGGAAAGCTCGCTCCTTTGCTTTCTATTTTTCCAAACCCTTTCGCCCTTAAGGTGGTAGTTAACCCTTATTTTGAGAAAAAAGTCAACAATTTCTTAAATTCTCCACTGGGGCTTCCTAAAACCCCTATTTATTCAACTTTTATAACCCGCTTTCATTTTTTGAAAAATTTGAAAATCCCGCTTGAAACGGCTAATTAATCAGAAAGTGGCCTAATAATTGTCCATAGCAACCGTCTGTTTACACTTTGTTTATTATGGTTGCCATGGGTTTTTTTGACCCTGCGCTGGGTCAAAAGTCTCCGAAATCCGTTTCCACAGTCCTCACAAGCCGAATTCCATAGACTCCAGTGCTGATTTTCATTAGCGTAACCATGATGCAGCGGGAGCCAGTAAATTCTCGTTTCTTCGATTTTTTCGAAAGCTTAGAGGAAGGTGAAGTCGGATTATTCTTTCAAACATTTTTGCTTGTTGTACTTTGTGAGATGGCGAAGCATGGTGAAAGAAAATTCAGATCCGTTAGGAGAAAAAAAAGGAAGGGTTTTTGCGGCACTACTGGGTCAAAGAAACGTCCAAAACTGACTAAAGAACCAGATCAAGATGGCCTTGCAGGAAGTAAACTCGAAGTTAGTGACAACAGCGACGCCAGTGAAAGTGAAGAATTGCCCATGGAAGTCAATGTTTCCGCCTCAAAGCTTCAGAATTCTTCGTTTTCGATGTATGAAGAGCAGGAAGGCATTCTAACCCGTAAGAAGTCGATAAATGTTGGGCTCGGAGTTCCATCAGTAAATTGTGACAACATTGCAAGTGGTTATAAAATTCAAGATGCCACTTTACTTAGAGATTGTATCGCCTCAGCAGCAATTTGCAGTTTCTGCCGCAAATCTCAATCAACTTTGCAACTTTTTCAGAGATTATCAGAGAGAAGGACTTGCTGAATGTCTTTTTCTTAGATGTTCAAATTGTCATCATGAGACTGAGTTGAAAACAAGTAAGAGACTGGGAGGTGTTGGTGGAGGGGCTCATGAAGTCAACAGGAGGTCGGTATTGGCTTCTCAGAAACTTGGCCAGGCTGGGTTGGCTGACTTTTGTGCTAGAATGAATTTCTGTCCACCAGTGACCAAGAAATCTTACAATGATCATTTGATCCAAATTGAAAAGGCAGCTGTAGAACATGCTAGAACTCAAATGCAGGATGCTGCTGGGAGGCTGTCGGATCTGACAAAAAATAAACATCCTAACAGCATTGAAGATGAAAATGGAACCGAAGTGGCTAAAGTAGCTGTTACAGTTGATGGCACATGGCAGAAAAGGGGCCATTCCTCAAAGATTGGTGTGGTGTTTGTCATTTCAGTGGCAACTGGAGAAATTCTGGATTATGAGGTCAAATCTCTTGTTTGCTATGAGTGTCGAGCTCGTGAGCATATGGACAGAGATTCTGAGGAATACAAAGCTTGGAAAGCCAGCCATACAAATTGCCACATTAACCATTCTACCAGCTCTGAGGACATGGAGGCTTCTGCAGCAGTAGAAATGTTTGGCAGAAGTGTAGAGAAGTTGCATCTCAAGTATACAACTTTTGTCGGAGATGGTGACAGTAGTTCTTTTGGTCGAGTGCGAGAAGCCATGACTGCAAAATTTGGAGACAAATATCCTGTAGTCAAAGAGGAGTGTGTGGGCCATGTGCAGAAGAGAATGGGTACAGCTCTCCGAAAGTTTAAAAAGGAAATGAAGGGAAGAAAGCTGGCAGATGGAAAAGGTGTCGCTGGAAAGGGAAGGCTCACTGACAAAGTTATCAACCGCATTCAAAACTATTATGGTAATGCTATAAGAGAGAATTGTGGCAACCTTCAAGGGATGAAAGAAAGCATTAAAGCAATTCAGTGTCATATGATAGTGGATGAGGACATGTCACTCAAAAAGCAGCACAGACACTGTCCAAAGGGTAAAGACACATGGTGTAAGTTCTGGGCTGACATGCATAATAAGACAAACACCTACGACAACAGCAAGCGTCTTCCTGCAGTTTTCATGAAAGAGCTGGACCCAATTTTTAAAAGATTGTCAGATAATGCTCTTTTATCAAGATGTCTTCAAGGTTTCACTCAAAACCAGAATGAAAGTGTCAATTCTCAATTGTGGTCCAGATGTTCCAAAACTACCTTTGTTGGAGTTCGTAAAGTTCAAATTGCTGTTTGTGAAACTGTGGCTGTGTTTAACACTGGGGCAGCCAGCAAAGCAGTCATTATGGATCTCAGTGGGGTTAATCCTGGTCAAAGTATGTTGAAGGCCCTGAGAGATCAAGACAAAAGAAGGATCGTAACTGCTGGACGAAAAGTTTCTGTGAAGTACAGAACACAAAGGAAGATTTTACGGGCAAAGCAAAAGTCAAAAGGGGAAGTGTCATACTCTTCAGGGGCTTTTGGTCTTGATTCAAAGCCTGAGATATCAGTTAAACAAGGAATCAAGAATATTAAGTCCAAGAAACACATTCAGGAGTTACCATCCACTAGTAGAGAGCAAACTGTGGAGATAAAATATGTGGAACCCATTTTTGAAGTTGTGGTCACTCCAAAAGAGTAGGGTTCATGAAGAGGACTGAACTTTTCCACATTTAACCATCTAATCTAGCTGGAGAAAGGCCTTCAAATTAATATTTACTTCCTAGTGCAACACAATTTCAAGAAAATAACTTTCTTGACAGAATGGGGGGATGTTATGGTGAATTTTACTCACAGCACATGTCTTGGACTTTAGAAGCAGTTTTCTTAAAGTTATATGTTTAAGAATTGTCTATCTTGTGGCAGTCATATTTTTGCCAGTTTTCAATGGATTTGCATGATTTTTTCACAGGTTGTGTAGTTTTGGCTGTACTGTGCAATGAGTGAACTAGTTTTAGTCTTTTGTGAAGTTTTATTTTGTTGCTATGGAAACGTGCTTCTTTATGTCAGAGCGACATTGATTTGACGATACTAAAAAACTGTTTCACTCATTGCACAATTTGTAACAGTGTTAATGTCTCTAGAAAGTTTCATTGCTTTATGGTATATGTTTGCTGAGATAACTTTGCCATAATCTCAGAAGTTGACTTAAGTTTTCTGGAGTTACCATGGCAACCAATGGGCGTGGTCTCACACTTACCATGTCAATCTTTCAAACTTACTTAAGTCTATATTCTGTTCAAATTTCATGGAGTTTGGTCAAATCCTAGGGAAACAGGCCACTTTTTCATTTAGTTACAAAATAAGGGTTAACTACCACCTTAATTTTCTTTTCATCTCTTCAGAAAGGAAGTTTTGTTAGGACTTGGGAATAATCCACTGAGTAGAAATGTTTTGTTTTGGCTACCATTCCTCTATCGTTGCTCATTTAGCTGATAGTATGGTAGAAAATTCGATCTTCCAGCGGAAGGAATTTAAGTTACCCAAAGTCAGGGTGAGAGTTGTTCATGAACTTTTGTCGCGGTTAAATCTATTTAGGACCTAAATGAGAGAACAGAGGTAAAAGCCAGGAATGGGAAAAAGTGGCTTGCCTTGGATGTGTTTGCAAAGTGCCTTGAGTACCTGAAGAAAACTGCGACAGATGTCGTTAACGAACGGCATCTGCGGTCAGAAAAGGACAATCCAAACACAGAAGTTATGTACAAACCTGAACAGATCCAATGGGTGATAACAATTCCAGCAATATGGCGAATTTCTGCCAAGGAATTCATGAGAAAAGCTGCCTATAAGGTAACTGATACCTTCCATTCTTGTTTTTGATGATGCTCGAAACATCGATGCAGCCTTTTTCCAATGTGCCCTATGATTCAAAGAAGAAAACTGTATACAAAAAAAGATTAAAATATACAAATTAACTATACCTACCCAGCTAACAAACTATAGATTCATCTAAATCGTGGCTGATAAAGCAAAAGAAGGGAGATTCACCTCTTTCAAAAGTTTCTAACTCGTTTGTTTCGTTTAAGGCTGGGATTGCTGGCCCGGAGGATCCTGACCAACTCATCCTTGCCCTTGAACCTGAAGCCGCTTCGTACTATTGTAGAAAGTTGCCTTTCGATATGTTTAAGGGACAAAAGGGGAAAGAGCTGGTGAAGGACACTTTGGACATGGAAAAAGTTCCATACATGGTGGTGGATAATGGAGGTGAGTTGTAACTCCTTCAATAGTTAGGAAAAAAAATTTGTAAGGATCGTGGCCAGGCCATCGACGGTGTTTTTTACAACCTGCACAGGACCAGGACTAGAACGTTCACGTATAAAATGAGAACATTTTAAATAGGAGAGTGTATACAATCAGATTCAAAACAGATGAGAAACCTCATCCACGCGCTTGTCATGTAATTCCCACAAAATATCGAAAGTGGGAGAAGGGAAAGATCAGCACGCTAATTTACAGGTGAGATATTAACTCAATTTTGCTCCACAGGAGGAACTTTAGATATCACCGTTCACGAAGTTAATGCTGATGACGGACATATTATGGAAAAACACTGTCCCTCTGGCGGTACCTTTGGTGGCATTCATGTTGACCGAGAATTTGAGCAACTGATGATAAAAGCATTTGGAGACGACTTCATCAGAAGATTTCAAGAACAATTCCCGAATGACTGGCAAGTCATAATGAACCGCTTTGAGGAACAGAAGAGGGCAGAAGAGGAAGTGGACAACGATGAAATTAGTATCGCTCTCCCTTTAAACTTTATAAAGTCTTGTCATCACGACATTGAAGAAGATGATGATGCTATCAATGAGAGAATTCGGCGATCTTGTCCTGAAAATGTGAGTGTTAGCAGCGACTATTTGAACATAACCATGGGAATGCTTGGCAACCTGCATCGTCCAATTGTGACCAAGATTGCGGAGCAGATGAAAAGCTTGCTCGCTAAGCAAAGTCTTCAAGATGTGAAGACAATTTTTCTCGTCGGTGGTTTTTCTGAAGCTCAGTTTTTAAGGAAGGAAATTTCCCGCTGCTTTCCTGACAAACGCATTCTTATACCACCAGATCCCCAACTCGCCATTATTCGTGGTGCTGTAGAGTTTGCCCAAGAACCGAGTTTACTTCGAGCCAGGGTCATGGGTAAGACATATGGTTTAGATATCTGGTGTGCGTTCGATCCTGACAAACATCCGCCCGAGAAACGAGTTGTTTTTCGAGAGGAAGTGTACTGTCGTGACATTTTTGAAACCCTAGCCAAGAAAGGGGAACGAATAGACATTGACGAGAAAAGAACGTACAATTTTTGTCCCCTCAATCCGGATTCGACTGCATTATCTTTCGAGTTTTATAGCACAGACGAAGATGACGCTGACTTTATCTCCGATCCCGGAGTAGTAAGTGAAAACGTCGAAATTTCAATTTCCAGTCCTAATACTGCTAAGGGATGTGACCGAACATTAAGGTTGGAGGTAAAGTTTGGCGGCACGGAAACCAACGTTCAAGTCGTCGATGTTGAGTCAGGTAATGTTAAAATGGCATGTCTTCAGTTTGTTTCCACATCTGTGTTTCACTCCCGTTTTTATTAGAACTATGCTGAGTTGGACCCATGTAGACCATGATATCGACTTTAGTCGAATGAACAATGACTGGATTAAGGCCGAAATTTTAATCATCAAGGGAGGAGGCAAAAGTCAATTTTCAAACTTTCAAACGGCGTGTGGCTTCAGCGTTGCCATGTTGTGGAAGCGCTTAAATCGTGAGCCAGAGGTCCTGGGTGGCTATAAACAGGCGTGGCTTGGTACCTGAAATTGATTGCCTCCCAACGATCGAGGTCTTTACCATGTTTTAATACGTTAGATATGAATTATCTGTAATACAGATTTCTCGGTCCCGTTAGTCTCTATGCCTTAAGCACTACTCAGGGTAAAGCGATCCTATTTTAAAAGAACATCTTTGTCAGCTTACATTGCTTGTGATATTTGGAAACATTGACTCATTTAGGTATCGCAGTTAAGATTGATTCCGATAGTCAACCTCGTTTTTGTAGTAAACGATCTGTATCCGCCTAGTTTGCTCGTTCACCGGCCCGTAAGGAAACACATACATATTTCGCAATTAATTGAGTTAAATGTAGTACTTTTAAATTCTTGATTAGCTGAACTCAGCACCATTTATAATCATGTGTAAAAGTCACACAAGTAGATTAAATGCTGATTGCTATCTGCGATCAAGTTCGTTATTTTACACTATACATCGAGTGGTATGTTCTGGTCTGATATATCTTTGTTCGTGGTTAAGAATACTGCATAATACCACACATTTTCTTTGGAAGATGGGCTCGTATAGGATGTCCTTCAATACGAAATTGTTAGAAAGGAATTTTTTTATATGCGAGCAAAACTCAAGCTCTATTAGTCTTTTTTAGGTCGAAATATTAGCATAACATTACGGACGAAACAGTTATAAAATGCAATACCAAGAACAAATAAATCCGAAGAGCTATATCCATTGTAAATTTGAGCTAGATGTTAGAGACAAATACATATTTTTAAAATGAAGTTCGGATATAACACGCGCTTTCATTGGTTGAAAGAGCGTGCTCTATCAGAGTACAAAGCATAGAGCTGAGTTAAAGCTGTCACGCCATCTGATGCAAACCTCAGAAGTAACATTGGCCGCGCTTCGAGTGAACAACTAAGAGCTTTCCGTGATATCATTTCCGATGCGTTGAGTGGAAGGCCACATCAAACTTCGCCTTGCGCAGTCTCTGTACATGAGACTTTCAGATTGTGTGCAAGAGACTAAAAAACTTCAGGCAAAAGTGTTGAATTCGACCTACCGAACTATCTCAGTTTGCAAACTATTGCAGACTGTGAACTTGGATGGTTTGACATTTTTGACAGCTCTAATCTTGTTCAACCGCTCAGATTATTTGGACTATTCTAACAAGGATTCTGATCAGCTTATTGTAACGTGCTTGATGAGAGTACAGAGCATGGTGACATCGCTGTTGTTCGCTTTGCAAATAAAGTTTGCTTTGAAAATTGAAAGTAATGCGTGGGGAATTTAACGGATTCTTTGTTATAGACAACCCTTGACTGTGCTCTATTCTGTTGTAAAGCACTTAGGAAGCAGCTAGAGCACTGAAGAAATGCTTCTTCCGTGCTTTAGCCGCTTCCCGCGTGCTTTATAATAGAAAAGAGTATAGCGAAGGCTTCTCTATTCGTTAAACATGGCATGGACAATATGTCTCTTGTTAAAAGTTGCGTTACATGTAAAACAAACACAAACAAACAACAAATAGTAACACAGTCAATCACAAAAAAGTGTGCGAGTGTTTGCCACTTATCCTTAAAATGTGAAACAGTATCTTACCTTTTAAGAAACTAAAAATAACTTGACGTAGTCGAGATGGAGTTGAGTTTGAGAGGGCAGCCGTCCGACCGACGTCAAGGCAGCAAATCTCAAATCAAAAAGCACAAGAACAAAACCTTACGCCATTGGTCCGCCGAGGGTCTACATCGAAAGTGACAACATCGTGAGACAAACGAAATTACGGGTGCATTTACGGGGATGAAGAACTGTTTGATTTGATCCTCTGGGTTCTGTTTTAAACCATTTAGGCAGCTTACAAAGCTGTTTTCCCGCGCGAGCCAACGCGCACCGGTCTGACCACCGGTCTTATGTTTTCCCGCGCTTTTCATCGGTGGTTACCGCTCTCTATCGCCAATTGAATCATGGGACGAAATATCTCCACATGCAGTTCTATTGCTATCGTGTAAAATTCTGCGTTAATTCTCGTTACTCATTTTCCGATAGGTATATTAGTATTCGGCTAATTCAGTGCAACTGGAACCAAAGAGTTGTAAACAAATCTCTTTTACTCGACATACTTAGATATTACTTAGTTATGCACTTTAAAATTTAATGTTGATATTTGTAATTTAAAAGTACAGCCTATTGATAGAATTTCTTCAACATAATTACATCGGAAGAGAATATGTCTGGTGATATGATACACGATAAAAACACAAATGTTTACTACATAACAATCGAGGTAATGATTGGACACCAAAAGCTTTTCTCTTCAGCGGTCCAAACAACGTGGAAGAGATTTTTCACTTTCGCGTAATGAGCCACAATGAGAACTGGTAGTAGTTAAAGTGAAGTTTGAAGCGATTTAAGTATTAAGGCAACAAATATTAAAAAAGATTATCATCAGAATTAATAAATACGCGTTCTTGCGCAGAACTAAAGAAAACTTTCCACAACGATGAAAATGACAGAGGTTGAAATATTCATTGTTAAAGTCGACTAAAATTAATGTAGGAAAAGTTGTCGGTCATTACAATGTCACACGATATCGATATGTTACCGACTTCTTTCCGAACCCTCTTGCTATTTTCCTTTTGGAAAAACAGCCGAAAACTCTTCGGGTATACGTCCTCTGCTGGGGCCAGCACTCAAAAATATAAATACGTATCATCCCTTGAAAATAAATTTAAAAAAATCGAATTTTCTCAGTCAACATCAAGCAAACAGTAGCGATATTTCGATAGTGAAAATCAAAATTGGTTTTTTGGTCCGTTGGTTCTGTAAATTGACGCATTTCATGGATTTTCAAGTTATCACAACTAGCTGACAGTTGCGAGTTCTCTTGCGTTAGACTTCTCTGTGGTGGACTGAGTGATGGAAAGTTACTTTTGAAGTTCTCCAGGAACATTTGTACATAGGATGAGGTTTAAAAACATCAGAGATTCCGGACGTCTAAAACGCACAGCTGTTAGGAAAATAGAAGAAAATCATTAAATTTATTGAAAGAAAACTGCCAATCCAAACCAACTCATGATTGGTCTTATAGAACTACCGCTTCGTGGGCATCCAATTTTGTTTTTTATCATATCCACTTTGAAATCACAATCTGATTTCGCAATCCTTGCAATCTGATTGGCGCTCAGCAGTGCGATTTGTTCACATATGACACTGTCTTTCTTCAAAACAACCAATCACATTTGAAGACTTGTCTAAAGTAACCAACTAAATTTCAGGTAAAAGAAAGACAAAGAAGCCATTGTGTGACGTAACTGAACTTCGTTTTGTGCAATTTTAGTCTGAAATCATACTTGTGAATTCAAATGGAACTCGCGCCGCGCTCTCATTCGATTTGAAATATATGGTGCATTTGAACTCACACCAAATTGCACTGCTACTTAGTTCAATTGCCTTCATTAATCATTGTAGAATTACAGACTGAAACAGAGCTTCAATCGCTAAGGTACATGAGCTGATAAACAGAGCTGAGTGAATTGATCGTTAGAAAATGCAATATTCGGAGTTTTAAATTTAATAAATCACCATTAAGTACCATTGGATATCCCACCGTATTGTCCTGCTAACTCACCGTATTGTCTGAAAAGCACGCAGCTACTTTATCTCCTCTTGGACTCCACTGTACTTCAAATACACCCCCATTACCATGGTAACTATGAACTAGCGTGCCAGTCTAAAGAAAAATGAAAATAATGTATTAATAAACACATGCTACTTATCTGCGACTGGCTGATATTTAGGTTCAATTTTCAAACGGGAATAAAAAAAAAGGCCCGGTTTGTGAAAAGAACACGCGAGGAGCTCCTAACTTTTCCTGGCGTGTTTAAGGTGCGTCCTTGTCCTATTCCCATCACCCGTTTGCGTGTCTCCTCGTTTACGCGCGCGAGATTAATTCGCTCATATTCACTTTTCTAAGGAGTCTTGGGTCTCAGTTCGTCGTTACTTCTTTTCCTTACAGCTGTTAATTTCTTCGATAAACTGGAATTAGATCAAGGTTGCACCCTCTTACCTATACGTTCTTCTGTTAACCCTTTAATTTCCATGAGTGACCAAGACAGAATTTCTCCTTACAATATCAATACAATATCAACCAGATAAGTGATGAGAATAAAGAGAAATTTGAATTTGGAGATATGTTGATCCAATGCTAAATTCTCTGAACTAACATTATAGGAATTGTATGGTTGACAGTAAGGAGAATTACAAATTTGATCTGAGAGTTAAAGGGTTAACATCACCCATTTGCTTAAGATGCCCTGGAACTGTGAGGAAAAGTCGATTATTGATCACCAACTGAAGTTAAAGGGTAAAAAAAAAAAAAAAAAAAATTTCATTATTGGAAAAAGAGTGAATATATTCCCCACCTGTGTTGACCAGACATTCAGTGCCCTGTCAAAAGACCCTGATGCAATGTATCTGCCATCAGGACTAAACGACAAAGAGTGCACTGCTTCTTGATGTTTGGAGAGAGAAAGAACACAGGAGCCACGCTCCAGCTCCCATAGTTTGACTGTTGTGTCGTATGAAGCACTAAAACACAATAAAAACATGAGGAGGTTTTTACTGTAAAGCCAAAAGGTAAATGACAGCCTAAACAAATCTCTATGTACAACTGTTTTACATCATAAATTATCAAATCATGATTGGTATTCTCTTGATGAGAAAGATTCCATATCACTAGGTGATTTTTTTCTCATTGTACAGTTACTATAAGGAATTAGGGGTGAATCCTCCATTTGTGTCTCACAGGTATCTGGACATATTCCACGTGGTTTATTATCATAAATTATTTCTCTGCCACAAGCAAGGGGTGGATGTAGGGGGTGGAAGGGGCATAAGCCACCTGGGATCTTAATCCATCCCCAATCCCCATTGTACTTTTTACCTTAACAAGCTTATGACCAAAACCGTTTTAAGAGATACACAAGCCTCGGTTGTTTAATGTCTGGATCTTTTAATCTGATATGTTGTGAACTGGTCACCAAACCCTTTAACTTCCAAGATCTGGGCCCAGCTGTTTGAAAGCCAATTAGCATTAACCCAGGGTTAAATCTTAATCCAGGTTTCTTTACTCCTTTATTCAAAAGCCTTTTATCAGATAGTTTTCTCTATTATTCATGGAGCACCCAGTTGTCAAATTGTATACAAAAAGAATTCTACTGAATTTTTTTTTTAAGCTTTCAGATCTGAAATCAAATTCCTCACTAACCCTGGGTTATCCTAACTCATCTTTGAACAACCTGACACTACTTGTGAATTCTCCCCTCTAGCTTCTACAAATTTCTTTGCAAAGTAGTTATGAGAATTTGGTGTTCGATCAAGACAACAGTTTCTACCTGATTAACAGGGCGTTTGAGAATTCTTATTGAAAGTAAGTCGCCAAATTGGCTTTGAGATATAGTGAATTAAATAAATTTGCAAAGATAAATCTGGATTGTGTATTGATGTTATATAACTAGACGCCATCTTGGATTTAGATGAGCCTGAATGTTGTATATAATACATCCTAGTGTCCACTTTGTGGCATGTTAAAGATCTTTTTCCTAACTTAATTTTGGAGGGTCTATCTAGGAGTTGAAAGGGTCTAAAATAACAATTGGCAATAATAACTATCAGAAAAAAAAGTTAATTTCACGCCCTGCTGATAAGTTGGAGAATCCTTATTACCTCTTTGTTGGATTGTGTATTAATGTTGTGAGGAGGGATAAAAAATACTTCCAAGAATTGATGGGTTAATTACAACAATAATAACACATAATATTTCAACTTGTAAAAGAACAAAAAAAAAAAAAGAAAAAAAAAAAGTTACATTAAAATTTCATGCAGCATACCTTGCTAAGAGAAGAGGTGCATTAGGAAACACTGTTGTTGGTCCTGTTGGACTCCACGTTACTGTATATATTTCTTTTTTATGACCTTGGAGATCAAACAACCAGGTATCTTGTTTGGTGCTCCATATCTAAACAAATAAGAGGTTTGATCCATTTAAACCCAAATATCAGTATGCATATTCTACATAATGTTCTCCATACATTCACAAAGGTGCTGGCAAAGAGAATTTGTTGAACAATCAAGACCTCCTTCAGATAGCATCATTTCCTGTATTCTTGCGACCTTCATGATGAAAATGTGTGATTCAGGGGTGATATTGTAGGTAGGAATTAGTCAGTCCCAAGGGTCTGGTTAAATCTTGAGCTTAGAAAGCTTTGACAGTGTTCTTGGATGCTTAAAGGGATTCACATTTGATCATTATTGAGAGTCAGATGCTTAAATATTCATTTTGAAAGGGCTAAGAATAACACCAAATTGGCCCTTTACACCTTAACATTAACCCTTTAACTCCCACGAGTGACCAGGAAAGAATTTCTCCTTACAATATCAATACAATATCAAGCAGGCAAGTGATGAGTATAAAGAAAAATATCAATAAGGGGATTATAAGTTGATTAAATACTAAATTCTCCAAACTAACATCACAAGAACTGTATGGTAGATAGTAAGGAGAGTTACAAATGAGATCTTGGGAGTTAAAGGGTTAATACTGTTATTCTCCTCACTTTTCTCTTAGCAGTACATATGGCACTGACAAAGAGAATTTGTTTGACAATCAGGAGCTTCTTAAATTGGTGATTGTGGCCTATATTCTCTTTTCCTTTACATTTTATTCAAGGGTGATACTGTGAGGAGAAATCAGAAGCCAATCTCTCTTAGAGTTTAATCACTTACCTTAGCTGATAGATCATCTGAACATGATGCTAGGAAAGACCCTGATGGATCCCATCTAATTGTATTCACTTCACTCTGTTAAAAAATCAATAATCGTCAACAGCAAATGAGTATGGCATACATGTACATGTTAGATGTACATCTCTTTGACGAAGTTGCCCTGTGTAGACCCAATACTGGGTCCTTTTCTACCAAAACAATCATTAAAAAGAACAAGAACAATACTCAAATGGCACAAAAACTACAAGTGCATGCAAACTCACAGTGTGTCCTTGAAATGATTTGACAGGTTTTTCAACTCCTATTTTACAGACATGTATGATTTTATCGGTTGAACAAGATGCAAAACTTGTGTTGTTTTGCCAGTCTACATCTAGTATGGGGGCTACAAAAAAAAAAGGCAAACAAAATTAATTTCTATAAGTAAGAACAAGTTGTACATACATTCATGAAAAAATCAAAAGAGAGGAGATAATGGAGAATCTGTGTTGTTTACAATCATAAACAAAAATTCAAAGTTTTGTGGCAAACAGGGTTAATTAATGTTTTAAAAATAAATTTATCTTCTATACCTTGATGGAAAGAAAATTGCTGTTTAACTTCCCAGTTATTTGAGTCCCAAACAAAAGTACTCTGGAAATAAAACCACATTTTCAGTAATATAGGGTATAGGATTACCAGTACTCTATCAAGAGTATTATGTAAAAATACAATAATTTTTTGATGGTTTTATAGTTAGGACTTTTACCTTATCCACTCCAGCACTTATTAGATAGTTTCCTTTCTTGTTCCATTTGATGGAAAATATTGGTCCTTTGTAATCACCTAGTGTTTTAACCAGTTCCCCTGTAAAGAGAAGAAAATTACTGAACCTGCTTGTTGCACAACACAGAAGTAACCCTTTAACTCCCATGAGTAATCAATAAAAGTGATTGACAAATAAATTCCCCTTAAAAAATTGACACAATATAAAGCAGGGTAGTTGTGAGAAGAGAGTAAAACATCAACAAAGGGTTTTCATTTAATTTACCATGTAATTCTTAAAGCTAAAATCATAATCAACATATGGCCAACAGTAAGGAAATTGATTTTGAGATCTTAGGAGTGGAAGTATTAAATATCATGTTTTGGAACAATAATTAAATTGTTAGATGGTGTTACCTTCTGGAGACCAAATCCTTGCCTGCCCATCACATGAACCTGTGGCTAGCAGAGTTCCATCATTCTACAGAAAAAGAGTTAGGTAATAACCATTCCTTGTTCTAAAAAGGAGTCACCACATTTGTCTGGGTTAAATAAGTTACAGTAGCTGTAACTCTAACAAATGAAATGCAAAAAGGGTTAATTAATTTGCAAAAATGCAAAAAAAACTGCAGTGCTGCGTCAGTAGGGGAGTACAAAAAGATAATTGGTTCTATAAACTGAGTTGAGAATGTAAGTTGGCCACGGTAAAGAGTTGCAAAGCTGATGTTTCAAGTATTAGCCCTTCATCAGAGTGAATGGAATGCAAGTAATGAAATGCAAGTTTTGGTGGCTCAATCACAAACTAAGGATGCAAAACATGGGTAAAAACTAAGTGCACAACTTACATTCCACTCCAGACACGTTATATCCTTGGTTGTATTTTTATGGTTTTCTAAATCTTTGAATTGATGACGTAGAATGATAGGTGTTCCTATTCCTGTCTCATTTATTGGCCACAGTCTTGCTGTACCATCTCCAGATCTAACAGTGTGAAAAATGTGTAAGTATTTTTTTTACGAAAAAACTATTTGGCTAAATAACTAATGAAATTGCCACAACTTCTGATAAAAGGGCTGAGATTGTTTGTCCTAAAAGGGATTTGGAAAAATTTTACAGAATAAATCAAGAGAATCAAGACACCTGCACCTTCAGAAAAAGCCACTATTGTTTATTGGAACCACAATTTGCCACAAAGATGAAACACCACAAAATATAAAAAATCCATAAATATCTAAAACTGTCTCTCTTCAAGAAACTCTGACTGTAGCTGTGCTTTTTTACAGCTTAACATTCTTTTGAATTCTAGAGATACAGTTGAGGATAAGATGGTAAATAAATAAAAAGCAATGTCACATAATTATAAAATGTCCATATTTGTAAAGAAAGTCTACAACATGACGTTTGAGCCACTTAAGCAAATTTTCAATAGTTTATACCGTTCAGTTCATGCTTTGCTGATTTCAACTTACCCAGATGCGAGTATATCCTGAGAGGGATTCCAAGAGCACACAAACACCTACAGGAGTTGTTATGCAAATGTTAAACACAACATACTTTTGAATGAGCATACAATGAAACATAGTATTACAGCACTGGATGCTTAGAATACATCTACATGTAACCACAGGGAGCTAACAGAGTCAGGCAGTCAACTGATACATATTCAAACACAAAGTACAGGTAAATTACAGGACAGCAAGATCTCACAAACTCACACAATCACACTAAAGGAAAAAGAAAGAAAATAAACAGAAATATCTGCTGATATTCCAAGCCTTTGCTTTTTAACACCTGGAACAGATAATTTGGTGAGTATTTTTTAACAAGTTTACCAGCAAATACAAGCAGTTCTACCTCATGTTCATGGCCTTTCAATATCAATGCTTTGTTGCTCCCTGCATCATTAACTGTGCCATCGATCTCCATCATCTCACCATGTCCCATAGAATTGACATGAGTGTAATGTCCATCCTCAAGTTTTATTCCAATTTCTGGTTTCATCCCTCGATTATGTAACAATGTATGTCTTGTGGTTACTATGTCTGGTAAGACAGCATCAATGAGGGAAACATGATCTAGTTCACTGCCGTCATCAAGTATTGTTCCATCCTGAAAAAGGGAAGCATTGATAGAAAAATCAAGCAATAAAAAATATGAGGCACCTAGTTAAATGGCATCAAACCTCTCTAAAAGACTTAATCTGTTGACAGGCGACACATGTTGCCTCAGTAAGGGATAAACTGTCCACTTATAGCAAAGCTTGTAGAGCGTAGCCCCATAATTACACAAAATAGTAGTAACCCATCAAGCCAAAAAAATTTGGATGTATGACCATATGACCGTACAAGGTGCTACTTTTAACATGCACAGTCAACTGTACCGCTGGCACACCAACACCATGGCTTTGTTCAGTAGTCCAGTGGTCAATGCACTGGGCTCCGAGTTGGACGACCCGGGTTCTAGTCCTGGCCAGAGCAAGGCATTGTGCCCTTGAGACATGTGGGAAAAAAAAATGCGAGCTCCGCTTTTAGGCTTGGCTAAATCTATATATTAAGCCAACACATCTCTTCACCCTTTTACTCCCAGATCTCAAAAGTGATTCTCCCTACTGTCTGCCATACAATTCTTATAATGTTAGTTTGGAAAATTTGGTACTGGATCAACTTATGATCCCCAATTGATGTTTTCCTTTATTCCTGTTAGTTGTCTACTAGATATTTTGTTGATATTGTAAGGAGAAATTCTAACTTGATCACTAATGGGAATTGAAGGGTTTAAAGGGCACTTTTTTCTAGGCCTGATGGTTTGACCAAAGTGTAAAGTATTTTTCTATGGTAATCTCAAACTAAAATTGAAGGAAATATAAGTCTTCTCTATTTAGACCAACAAGGAGAAAGTGATCAAAGGAATATTCCCCAAAGGCTTTTTATTTTTTTGGTGTATACATGTACATATAATGTACAATGACCAGTGCTTTAGAGATGCGATGCAGAATCCTGCCCAAAATTTTCAACAAATAAAAAAAAGCAAAAAAGAAAACACTTTTGTAAAGGAGTTATTTGTAGATTTTCAATAAAAAAAAAACCTTCTCAGAAAGAACTCTATCACAAGTTTGCTTTGTTTAGCTCACCTCATTTAATGTCACCTCCGCCTCAACATACTGTACACCTTTCTGAATGATTGACACCAGAGCACCAGGTGGTACAATGGATCCATTAATATTTGATTGGTCTACATGGCTCTCCACTCCAAAAGTAAAAGCAGAATGCTGAAATCCTAATGGTGAAACAAAGGGTACATACTCAATTTATAATTAAAAAGGGTAAAGTTGGCACTCCAGCAAAGTGCCCTACACTGCCACAGCTTATTGCTGTTTCTATAACGTAAAAACTCTTAAAGTGCTGCTCTCCTAAAAGAGAGCTAGTCAGCCTTAGGTTACCCTTCTCCCCCCCTCTCAGAAATACGTACTTTACTTTTCTATTTACAATCTTAAATGTATTACTGTACTTACAGTGCTAATAATTACAATACTTACTAAAAGTACAGGCATGAAAGACATTACTACTCATACTAATTCTTAGTACTAATAATCATCTTTGCTCTCATAATTCAGACAGACACAATATGTATTAAAGTACTTAAAAAAAAAATAAAATATAACAGGTACAACAGAATACTGGCATGAAGATAACCCTTACTTGATGGATCAAATTGGCATTTTATCAATAATACATGTATATAGGATTTTTGACTTGTAAAATTCATGATAAAATCAAATTTTTCCAATAAAGTCAAGTACAAAATCTGTAAGATATTTTAAAATGCAGAATTAAACTGAAAATGGTACTAATAATTAAGTGTCGTCTTAACTCATTTCCATAATTCGTAATATTAGGCTCAATCTCAAGCAACAATTAGTTTTTCGCATGGGGATTAATTACTATTTCTTCGGGATACTAACTATACTAACACTGGATGTTTCAAATTAAGCAAGAGATAATTTTTGAACGAGAACATCATAGCCACAAAGCAACCGACCAATCGAAACTCTATCATTTTTCGATTTAATCGTATCGTTTGAACAGTGCAGCTGGTCTCCAACAAAGAAAATATTGTCAAGAGTTTCCAAAGAGGGTCCGATCTGTCTAAACACCAGTAGAATCTAGTAGCTGAATATATTTCAAATAATTTTCATTACTTTGGGCGTAAAGAGCAGTAATTAGAATAAATTTTGTTCACAACGTGGGCTTGGAATAACACTCGATGTGATAAAAGCAAAATAATTGCACCCAATGACGGCAAAATCTCTGTAGAATCTTACGAAAATTTGTTATCATACAGATGACTGATTGATACCGGGAACTACAAACTCACCTGATTCTTGAAGATATCTGTAAACTAGAAAGTTGACCTCATCGCTGCTCATAGACATGATAAATAACACATAATCTAAACGATGATTGTAAAGATTATGTTTCACTTTGTTCAGACATTGATCTACGGCACGCGGGAGATTCAATAAAATTGCGGTTAGATCTCCAACCAATGCAGAAATAAAGCAATCAAGAGGTCTACAAACACTTTAAAATTAAACTTTGATGAAGGATGTCCACAATTAAATCGCAACCAGCGTCCTACGCAGTAAAAACTGGAAGAAAATTGCAGGACAACTTCCAGTTAAGACTACTACTAGTCCGCCATGTTTGTTAAGCGCGAAATGTCACGTGATCAATGACTTTGGAGTGACGTGATGTCATTCGTAAAGACACTGTATTTTATTCAGCCTAATTTTCTCACGAAAACGAAAAGTTAAAACTCACGGTTCCAAGTTTTTTTTACTCCTAAACGACATGAAAGTGCGTAAAATAAACCACTTGCTCTAAAAATTTATTTTGTTTTAAGTGTAGACACTTTCTCATAATCAGAAATGAAGAAAAAGCTTGAGAGAGGCTTGGGCACGAACAGCTTTCCTACAGCCTCGCTTTGACGCACAATTTTGTCCTCTTTGCCATCTGTGGCCATATTGGTAAGAATAATCTGTAACGTTTGTGGAAATCGTTCCCACAGAAGCCGTTAGAATTGCCATCGGTTGTGTAATACACCTTTACTGAAAATAAGGATAACTTCTCTATCAAGCCCTAGGGTTATTTTTAAACGAATCTACATCTTTGTAGCAAGGGAGCTCTGACAAAAATGACTGTCCCTTTGGAATAATGATGTTTTGCGACATATCGTCTATTAGAAATAGCGAAAAACCCGGAAATCTTTATTAGACGATTGCTTTGTGTTTCATTCCAAAGTACTCCTGTTCGATTAACTTTCAATGGCATAATCTTCCATCAGTGGTCTCCATTTTTCACTAGTAATCGCATGAAAAAAAAAAATAAACATACAGTTCTTGCACGTTTCTTCAAAATTGAATTTTTTTGCGCTAAATTCTAATTATTTTGGAAACATACGTCTGTACAGATTTATTTCCATCGTGACTTCTGAATGTTGATGTGAAAAGAAAAGACCTAGACACATCATGTGAACAAACCATGTTGTACTGGGTTCCTCTCAGTGTTCTACAATATGTGTGTACTTATTTCGACCTACTCAAAGCATTGAATTCTGGAAATTACAAATTATCATGCTCTTCTTTTGCTGTTGCAACAGATTTCTCTGATTGCTTAGCTAGAGGGATTGGCAGAATCTTTATCGAGACAATTTTCTTAAGCTTTGAGTGTTTAGGGTCATTTATCTGATAAGTAAAACAAAGCCTACTAAACATTGCATGTATTCAAATTATTAATACTTGAAGGCATCAACTTAATAATTGCCATTTACAGAACTAAATTTGTATTGTCTCTAGCTGGTAGCAGAAACAGACATGCAGTCAAACTTAAAATCTTTAAAATATTCTTCAGTACTTTTCTGCTGCCTAGGATTATCATATTTAATAAATGTTGTTATTGAATTGCAGTAAATACAGTATGGGTCGAGTTATCAGAGGCCAGCGTAAGGGTGCTGGGAGTATTTTCAAATCCCATACAAAACACAGGAAAGGAGCTGCAAAGCTCAGATCTCTCGACTACTCTGAACGCAATGGTTACCTTAAGGGTGTTGTGAAGGAGATCATCCATGACCCTGGACGCGGTGCACCGTTGGCTATTGTTAGCTTCAGGGATCCATACCGATACAAACAGAGAAAGGAGGTTTTTATTGCCACTGAAGGCATGTACACAGGGCAGTTTGTGTACTGTGGAAAGAAGGGTAAGAATTCTGTTGCCATGAATCTGGCATAATTACGTTTAATTATATTAATTATATTTATTTGAGTTCAATTATGTTCAGATGTGTACCATGCTGGAAACAAATTCCATTCTTGATGTGATAGCCCTCTCTGCTTTAGATTCAGTCACTAAATTAGAGGCAGTGTGCATTCAAGGGATGTCATTAAGTCCATGCAGAAATTAGTTCCTGAATTTTTCAAGTGATGTAAGAACTAATTGCAGGAATGAGCGGTGAAAAAAGTCTGTCTGGACAACAAATGCTGGGAAAACTGCCTGGTTATATCTTTCATTAGCCTTTTTATCTTTCTTCTCAAGGCTTCTAATCGCTGCAGTGTCTTCTAAATTTTCTTTAAAAGTGTAGGATTCTTTTTACCATTTAACTCTTGAGTGTGACCAGTATTTAATTTCTTTATGGTCACAAGAATAAAGGAAATGATCACCAACAAAAGAAGCTCTTGATTGTTTGACAAATTCTCCTTTTCAGCACCTTAGGAAATATATAGAGAACAGTATGAAGAATATGCCTACCAGTGTTAGGTAAAAGGTTAACCCTTTCACTCCCACAAGTGACCAAGACAGAAATTCTCCTTACAATATCAATACAATATCAAGCAGGCAGGTGATGAGAATAGAGAAGAATATCAATTATGGGATTATTAGTTGATCCAATACCAAATTCTCTGAACAAATATCATAAGAATTGTATGGCAGATAGTAAGAAGAATTACTAATTAGATCTTGGGAGTAGGGGGGAAAAGTATTGTGGTAGCAAAGTACAAGTTGAAAGACATTCATTGCTTTGCATTTTGTTGTTTGGTGTGGTTCAGCAACTCTACAAATAGGCAACTGCTTACCCATTGGTGCCATGCCAGAGGGAACTATTGTCTGCAATGTGGAGGAGAAATCGGGAGATCGTGGCAAACTAGCCCGCACGTCAGGAAACTATGCCACTGTTGTATCACACAACCAAGAAACCAGGAGAACCAGAGTGAAGCTTCCCTCTGGAGTCAAGAAAGTCTACCCTTCTGCTAACCGTGCCATGGTGGGTATTGTTGCTGGTGGTGGTCGTATTGACAAACCTATGCTGAAGGCAGGACGTGCTTACCATAAGTACAAGGCCAAGAGGAACTGCTGGCCACGTGTCCGGGGTGTGGCTATGAATGTGAGTATATGTAACTTTTAGTGGTAAACGCTCTTTTAAATGTATTATGTGGAGGACCTCAGGAGAGTTCATGTACTGCTGATTACCAACTTTTGTCTTAAGACTATGGTTAGACTTCTATGACTTGACTTTTGTGAAATTTTTAAGAGTTTTAAGATAACGGCTGTTACTCTTTAGCTCCCATGAGTGACCAAGACAGAATTTCTCCTCATAATATCAATAGTTTATCAAGCAGACTATTGACAAGAATAAAGAAAAATATAAATTAGGGGTTGATTCAACATTAAATTATGAGAACTAACATCATAAGAATTGTATGGAAGACAGTGAAGAGAATTACTGAAGAGATCTTGGGAATGAATGGATTTACATTTCATGGGCACCTTGAAACTTTTCCAGGACCATAGTCATAATGGATTAAACATTTTCCTTTTGGCATAAAAATTCTACATCTAGGTACAGACTGAATCAACAAAATTCTAGCTTTTTAAAATTTCTGTGTCAGTTTTACCACCTTCATCAAGTTCTGATTGATAACCAATGTAGGAAATTCATACAAAGTGATATTTATAGTCTGGATATATACCTCTCACTATAGAGACCTGATTGGTTTTTGTGTTTGATTCCTTAGTCTGTTCAAACTTTGTAAGGAGACAAATAGTTGTGTTTTCAATGTCAAATTTTTTGAATGACCATTTAGACAAGTTTAAGCACTCTTTTAAGTGAACACTTGTCACTGTTGTTCTTATTTGCTTCTTGCATTTTTTCCACAGCCTGTGGAACATCCTCATGGTGGTGGTAACCATCAACATATTGGTACCCCTTCAACTGTGCGCCGAGACACATCAGCTGGAAGAAAGGTCGGTCTTATTGCCGCCCGTCGTACTGGCCGAATCAGAGGAGGAAAGAAAACTTTCAAGGGAGACAAAGAAACAGATTAAATTGTACTTTGCTCAGTTGCCCAATAAAATTTACTGTAAATTTGGTTTTGTGCTGTGTCTCTTTGTCAACATGAAATTTTGCATCCTTGTCTCTGTATTCTATACAAAATCAATTAAAGGAATTTGGTTTCATAAATTGAGTTGATTCAACCACTCAGTGCAAATTGAGGAACTTTGGGGTTGTGTATGATTTACATACAGAAATATGGAGCTATGCTATTGGTGAGAACATGGTAACATGAAAAACACAAGAAGAAAGAAGTTGAATTAAAAAGCATTAGTTGATGCTGTAGGATTTAGTGTGCTGAATTGAAAGATAAATTTTTTGGCTAAGTTTTACATCTCTCTGAACTGCGTACATGTAAGGGAAGGATGCAGGCTGCTGCATGCTGCTAAGAGTGACTAGAGAGTGTCTAGTGACAGGTTTGGCACACTTCGTCGTTCCGTTCCATGTCACAATAATTAATAAATGACAGCATTGGCTGTAGCCCTTCATTTTTATGAGAAAGATATTTGCGGAGAAATCTTAAATCGGCCTTTTCGGTGTGGCAGTGTGCGAGTAGTCCTGGGACGAGGAGGATAGGGCGGACTGATTCCCAAATCCTCTGTATAGCTCTCGATCAATATGGCGGCTGGTTGGCAAGTCCTTCTTTTCGTTTTACACGGTGACTTTACGAGTTGATTGGTGAAGATCTGCGGATGAAATGTCAGGCAATAAAAAATTACCCTGTCAAAAAGAGGCTTGTGCTATCCAGAAGTGTTTGCAAGGTAATCTCGTATAATGAATAAAGGGTGTAAGTTTCTAGAGAAACTGTGGTGCTGCGTCGGGGGAAGAGTAAAGCAGGTAATTTAGTGTTAACAACTGAGTTGAAAACGTAAATTGGCCACCGTAAAGGGTAAAAAAGCTGACGTTTCGAGCGTTAACCCTTCGTCAGAGCGATTGTATAATCTCGTATATAATCTCGTATATAATCTTGTATATAATCTCGTATAATTGCGAGGCGCCTAATTGTTCTTAAGGCTACTCACACGTAAACGGGCAATTCATGGCTAGGTAATTCCGAGGTCCAAGTTTTCTCATACTATTGTTACAAACTTATGAAATTACATCAGCCACGAGTATTGCTCCTTTTTTTAACACAACTATTAATGCTGATCATGAACATTTCTACTCGCTTTGTACAGTACAACTGGTTTGAATCTAGGAGTGATATTTGATGGTGTACTCTGATCGTCTAAATAGTCCTGGAAAAGGAAGGACTGTGTCGGTAATAGTACGTGACTTTGATGACGAAAATTCACTACTACAGACAACAGTCCTTCTCAGGACTTCTCCGGACGATCGCAAGAGACGATAAAATTGACTAAGAAAAAGGCCGTGAATTGATTGGCTGTAAAGTTTTGGATGTGGGGGAGGGGGTGGTGGGGGCGGGGGGTGGGGGGGTAGGGTTTGGTGTGGGTTGAAAGATGGAGATGTATGGACCATCAAAATTAAACCATGCCTAAAATATAATAGTTTGATAATAATTATTAGTTCATATCTTTATTTTCCACCAAGAATATAATTATCAAGAGGACAGATGCCAACATGTGATTAACAACATGAAGAAATGTTGTCAAAAGATTTCAGCCATAAACACTGAACTGTGCTTGGGCTTCAAACAGAACTTGAGCAGCAAAAAGTAATGAACAGAGAGAGGTAGTGAAGGACTTCACCCAGAGAGCAAGAGTAAACAAGTGAGGCACCTACATAGGCTGAAATAAGTTGATCTCTGCACTGTCAGCCAGCAAGAAAATCAGCAGATAAGAGTTGACTTACAGATGTTTTGAAGTCTGTTTATGCACATTGTGGCTGACTTGAAGACAGAAACTTTACTGAATAATTTAAACAGTTTGTGATATCATAATAAAATAAAATTTCTACATACACAGGCCTTTTTTTTTTTGCTGTGTACTTAAATATTCTTTACTGTTCCTTAACCCATTTCACCAAATGTCAGTTCCCAAGGTCTCCACACTGTTCTCTATATGTTTTCAGTATAGTTTGATTTAGGGGTGATACTGGTAGAAGACATTAGATGCTTATCACTCTCAGGGGTTAAAGGTTAACAGTTTTTACTTGCAGTTGGACAAGAGTTTTCAAGAATTTATGAAAAAGTCATTAGTAATATTTTAAAAAATTATTTTTAAGTTACTTCAACCAAAATACTGTTTCAGTTAATTTATGCACTGTTCACACACAATGACTGAGGACATAGTGATATACTAGTTTGACGTTCAAGCTGTAGTGAATAATTTTGTGTTAAACGCAAGTTTTTATTTCAAGTACCTATGCTATGCTATACTGTCCCATTTACTTGGTGCCTTGTTGACGAACTGAATGCATGGATCATGTTACCCTCTATCGTGACCATTTATAGTGTGAACATGGAGATGAGTCTTGATCATGACCCTATGAAAATAGGACATAAACTAAAGGACTAGAGGAAGTGAGTTTTATGAGTACAGAACCAATAAGAAAAATTAGTCTTTTGACAAAAGAAAATCATGATGTCCATTGTTTTTTGTTTCTGGCCTTTTCACTCAAAGATTGGATCCACTTCTAAATATCTGAACCAGATATTTTCATTATTTTTGACTGATTTCTTGAGACTGCCATAAATCAATCTTTTATTAATGGAGGAAAACACTTTGTGTTGTTTGGGCTAACAGTTTCGGATTCTGATCATTACTTTTCAATAGTCATTATTTTACTTTTCTTCACAAATTGAGGTAATTGTGACTATAAACAACTTTCCATGCTACATGTTTATTTTACTTCAGACGCTCCTCAGGCTTGGTGCAAGCTTTGCTAAATCCTTAGTCCTCTTCGCTGTCCTTCGATTTTGTACAGCAGCCTGTCTGACGGGTTTTTCCGCGGCTCATTATGTGTACATCCTAGAGCTTGTGGGACCAACCTACCGCACGATGGCTTCAAAGTGTTGTGGTTTCTTTTGGGCCGCTGGTTCTGGTGCTATTGCTCTCATGGGTTATTACAGCAGAGACTGGCGTACACTGCTCCTCGTTTCCAGCTGTCCTCCAGCTCTTTTCCTGCTTTTGTGGTTGTAAGTGATCGGATAGCGCAGTTTTCTATGGAGTGTCGTAAAACTTAAAGCAAAGCTATCACAAAAACCATTTATGCCAAAAAAAAAATGTGTCAAGGTGCTAGCTTCTGGACAAATTGCAGAGCGTATAGAAGCAAATTCAATGCAAATCTGCATTACTTTCGACACTCAGTTGAAAACTCTTTCCATTGCACGGCTGGCTCCCTCCTCATGTTTGAAAAATAACGCGAATCCTAACGCGAATCGCTATTGATTGTCTGGCTGATTTGTTCCACTAAAAGAACGAACAAACATAAAACTTGAAAAAACATGTACAAAGAAAGATGCTTTTTTTGTCTTTTTGTTATGAGCTGCTGTCACGAGGACAAAGAAAAATCCTAAGTCCTCATGAGGCATCAAACCTCTTACGTTCTACCACTGAGCCACAGAGACTCTACGGTGAGTCAGGCCATAACCAGATTCAAAGATGACATGCTTCCCGCTTGAAAGCCTCGTCTGAGTCAGTCGACCAAGACAGATGGTAAATTTTAGGCCTGGTAATAGGGGTACAATTGTAGCTCGGAGGTTGTCACATTTGCTTATCATCTGCGAGCCAACCAATCAAAGTGCTATAAATGCTCCATTCACTCTTTTTATGAACATCATACCTCGTAGCCAAGGTGAAAATTAAGCTCTCAATATGTTATGATTGCAGAATAATCCCAGAGTCTGGTAGATGGCTCCTTGTCCGAGGTCGTGTAGATGAAGCTGGCCAGGTTGTAAGGAAGTTTGCAAAGAAAAACTCTATAATGTCAGATTACCTAGACAGAGCACTGGCAAAATGCAACCGGGGGGAAATTCTTGCGCGCACAAGAAAAATACGACATTCACCCCTCGACCTGTTACGGACACCACGCATGCGTAAGAGAACTCTGATTCTCTATTCTCTGGTTTTGCTGGTGAGTTGTAGTTTCTTACCATAATGGGAGAGAATTAAATAAAGAATTATCTATGCATAGCTTTCTTCTTACGCGCTTTGGGAAGCTTTCACGCAATCGCTAAATAGCTAAGCCTTTCCTTCCTTACATCCTCCCAGGAAGAGGCGGTACTCTGTTTCTAGTAATCTTGCACTCCACAGTAGTAAATACCAAATCAACTGATTGTTTTCTAATTGGCCTTCTTCAATTATTTGAATCTCTCACACCAGACCCTCCCATCGGTACGGTGTATACGTTAGTAGTAAAGCTTTAACTTGAATTCGCTTCTTGTAAGGCACACGGGTGCTAGTTTGAGCGAATATCTACATAAATAAGTCAATTAAAAAGAAAAAAAAACCTAAATATCCTATATGTACATACATGAATTAAAAATATAAATGATGTATTTAAGGATAAAAAATTACATTTACATATGTAAAGATATTGCTATAAATTCTCAAAGTTGATGTGCCGTATAAATTTCTTAAAAGATTGAAAATCAGGTGGAGTTCTCAAATTATCATCCAAGAAATTCCATATCTTGGGTCCAAAGTACCTAATGGATTTAGAATCATATGATGTAGTGTTTATTCTAGGTAAGGATAAAATATTAGATCCTCTAAGTTGATAATTTGTGTTACGAGTTGTAAATAAGTCCTTAAATAGGATGGAGCAATACTATTCAATGCTTTATATATTAATATAGAGATATTTTGGAGCCTATGATTGTAAAGTGTAGTCTTATTAGCCCTATTTAAGAGGTATTGATAGTCGTTTTCCTTATCCTGAAAAACACTTCGAAGAGCACGTTCATGTAGTTTTTCAAGCTTATCTGAATTACTCTTTAGACAAAAGTGCCATACCTTAGAACAAATGAAAGAATGATACAACTGTAATTTAGCATCAAGTGGAATAAGACATTTAAATCTATTAAAAACACTTATTTGTCTGCTAATTTTGCGGCAAAGTCCAGCTATATGTTTA